CCCTGTTACCTGCTCATCAAGACTTTTGGTAGAGTCATCACTGTTCCTTAATTCATTAAAAATAGCTTCTGCTGTAGATTAGATTTGATCTCTTACAGGGAGGGGGATAGGACGGTGGGAAATGGTGGGAACGAGGGAGGATAGTTGTCTATTGTGGTGGGTGAAAGGTTGTTCTAGACTAGGAGCAAGAGATGAAGAAACTATTTGGGCCTTCTGCTTGGACAGGTGAGATCATCTCATGTCCTCATTCCAGTTTAGAATAAGGACAGCTTCCTGTTTCCATCTAACTGTGCAGCATTCTCTACAGGACTGAGTTCCCTGAAGCAAGATTCTTTTGTTTGTTTGCCCTAGCAACCCTGGATTTGTTAGGCTTCTCAATAGGTATGTATATGTTTCAGTATATCATATGTTTTAGTACATAGATACTTGGTATAGCATTTAAATGAGTTGAACTTGACTATTCAACAGTTGAACTGTCTCCTCAACATTGATATTTTTTCTAGTGTTTTGGAATTTATATCATCTAAAGTCATTTTATGCAATAGCATATCAGAGCTTCTTGTTGACATTGAACTATAAATTAGTTCATTATTGATCTACGAGTCTCTCTTCATTACCCCCTTCCTGTCCATTCCCAGGTTTTAGTATCCACCATTATATCTTCTACTTCTATGAGAGCAATGTTTGCATATTGTACATACCAGTGAGATTGTATAATACATCCTAATTATGTGCCTAGTTTATTTCATTTAATCCAAGAACTTCTATTTCCATCAGTGCTATGTCAAATGGCAGGATTTTGTACTTTATGGTTGAACTATATTGCCTTCCTGAGTATATGAACATTTGGGTTGTTTTGTTTCTTGCCTGTTGGGGTTAGTGCTGCAATACCTTGGGAATGCAAATGCTTCTCCCATGAATCTCACTTCCTTTGTATATAAATACACCTATAAGTATCACACAGTGGCTCTATTTTTAAATTTTTAGGAACCTCCATAATGTTTTTCATAATAGCTGTGCTGATTTACATTCCCATGTACAGTTCCTATCAGTGTTTGTTATCTTTTGTGGTGTTTTGACAATACCCATTGAATGGATAAAGGTGGTAGTTCATTCTGGGTTGTCTTCATTTCCTGGTGTGTACTGTCAGCCACTACATGTCTTCTTTTGAGAAATGTCTGTTTGGGTCCATTGCCCATTTTTAAATTGCTTGGCAGCCCACATAAATGACCTACCTGTGATCCCAGCACTTAGGAAGTACATACCTGGGGTCCCTGGTGCAGTCTGGTTAGCTCAACTGGATGGATCGGTTTCAGGAACAGCAAGAGCACTCACCTCAATAAATAGTGATCAAGGAAGATATCCAGCATCAACTTCTGATCTCTGTATGTTCTCTTGCTACATAAACTGTAAATACAAAAAACCATATATACATACACACAAGGATAAAGAAAAAAATGAGTAACTGGGGAATGATGGAAAATCTATGTTAGAGCTACTTAGAGAAAAACAGAGAATGTAGCTTTATGCTATACTGCATTCCCCAGAAAAAAAGATATTTAGAGGACTCAAGGTCATTGCCTTAACCCACAAAAGAATATGCTGTATATTAAATATTACTTTTTGTTTCAGTTTAGAAAATGTTTATTCTTTAACTTTAAGCTTCATGAAAAGCCATGATATTTATAAAGTCATTTAACCACATTATTTTATGTAATAGTAATAATTGAATGAATACAATCATGTCAAATAATTACATATTATATAGTCAGTTATGTCATGCTATGGAAATGTTTGAAGACTATCTTATAGCAAATGAGAATTAAAAGCTGTTTTTAACTGATTTTTCTACACTAAGAAGTTGGTTTTTGGTTCTTATGGTTTAGATTACTGTTTAGGATGAATTGATTTTCTTTGAATGTGTTGTATTATAGTTTTCATTTTTGTTCATTTCATTTTTGTTAAAAAGTATGTAACTATTGACCTACTTGCTATTCAGTGTTTTAAAATTGTTCTTCCTTGTAAATGGGGTATGTAAATTATGTGATATATTTACATGGAAGATTTTCCTTTAGTTAAGTTCTGGCTCTCTATTGATGGGGCCGTGGAGACTGTATTCTGAAGTAGTGAAAGAAATGCTAAACACCAGTTTGACAGAAAGTATGTGTTAGACTAAGATCATCTGCATTGAATGGTTGGGTAACTGGGAGATTTAACAAACCACTTAAGTCCACCAAGCTGATTTTATATATATAAGCTGAGAAGTATTAAGACTTGATTGTTACAACTTTATACAGAATTATTTGCTTATTTTTGTAAAAGTTGTGTGCATCGTGTATGTGTACGTGACTATAGTGCTTAGCTTTTTTGTCCACTTTACACAAACTAAGGTCACCTAGGAAGAGAAAAGCTCAATTGAGAAAATGTCTCCATCAGACTGGCCTATAGGCTAGCCTGGGGAGCAGTCTCATGATTGGTAACTGATGTGGGAGGACTTATCCCACTATCGACAGTGCTACCCCTGGGAAGGTGGTCCTGTATTATAGAAGAAAGCAGGCTGAACAAGCCAGTATGGCATGTTTCTCTATGGCCTCTGCTTCAATTCCTGCCTTCAGTTTCTTTCTTTGACTTCCTGTCTTGGCTTACTCTGATGATGTACTGCAATCTGTAAGCCAAATAAACCCTTATTTTATCACAGTAGCAAAAATCAAACTAAGACAGTGACTTTTAACACAATAAACAGGATTTTCCCCAGAACATTGTACAATGTTTGGCTTAAGTATGCATATATTTTATTGTAGAATGCTTCCTTCCATTATAGTTTATTTCCTGTTCAAGTGCAGCATAGTATATACATCATAGGGAAAAAATGAAAACATGATTTGTATTCCTGACAAAACTTGAATAAGTGGTATCATGACTCTTAAGTATAGGAGAGGAAACTAAGGAACATGGCCCTTATTACACCTTGCCTAAGGCTATGCAGAGTAAAAGTAGCAGAACAGGATTCAGAATTATGTATTGATCTGTTTGACTCCAGAGTTTTAATGTGTTACTGACAATGCTACATACCATAGGACAATAATTGCTAAAATTTTGGTCTACAGATACTTGGGGCTCCCTGAAGGAAATCCTTTCAAGGGTCCATGGAACCAGATATTCAGTGATATCAAAGGACTTTCTGCCTCTCGTTGCATTTTTATTAGCACAAGACACAGCTGTGGTAAAGCTCAGTAGCATAGATTAAGGCACTGGACCAGATTGTACCAATAGTACCTGTAGTCATCATTGTTGTAGAGCTGCAATTAAATCCTTTACCTAAGATTACCTCACAAATATCATACCTTTGTAGTGTTCTCAGAACTAGAGGAAAGTACTTACAGAGCAGTTACACTCTGTGCCAGACTATTGTGGTTGTCTCCAAGAAAGTAAGTTATGTTACTGTGTAAGCTGTAAGCTGAGCTAGGCCCATGCTTTCATAAAACAACTTTTTATGCAAATGATTGACAGATGCTAAAGTATAGTTAAGTATTTGTCAAAATGAACCTTAAGAAGAAGTGACAGGATTTTCTTTTCAGTGATAAATTTTAGGTGTCAAGGACATAGTTTGAGATAATGAATTCTTCCTGTGAGCTTATAGGGACCTGATAAGACTTTTTCTGTTTTGTTGAGATGGATGGTAATATATGTGTTTTAAAGTAGTGTGAATTAAAGAGTCAAGCATTTTGAAGATCTGCATAATTCTGAAAACCATATTTTTTCAAAAGATCAATGTATGATGTTACAAAAGCCCATCTGAGTGGAAGATGAATTTGTGCATAATTCATACAGTATTTCCATATTGCATATAATCAAGAAACTTTGCCTTGTATAGTTATCTTTTAAAACACCGTTCAGATACTTTAAAAGACTTAAAATAAAACCCCTTTTCTTCACTCCAAAAACAGCTTTCCTGTATATATTTCTAGTACAAAATTATGGTAGTAGAATAAATGTAAGAAGGTAGGGAAATTTTTCTATCAATCCAGATGTCTAAAAGATAACCCGTATTTTAGGTAGTATTATTTTTCTTATTGGAGAGAGGTTAGAAAATGAAGTCTTATCATTCCTTATCATTCTTTTAATGAAACAAATACCAATTTTTCAGGTATATCATCATGTAAACAAGTACTCTAAGGGTCTTTTTTTTTTTTTTTTAGTAAGTATTATTTTAAGAAATGCTACTCTAAGAAAAATGTATTGATAAAATAAAGTAGTTGCTCACACCTATAATGCCAGCACTAAGGAGGCAGCTGAGAGAGGAATGGCTTGGTCTCAAGCCATTTAGCAAGTTCTAGGGAAGAAAGAGATGGGTGGAAGAGGAAGGAATTGGAATTTTAAATTGTTGAAGTTGTACTCAGTCTCTACACTTGATAGACAAGACATGTCTTTGGATTCCAGAGTTATTCTAGCTAGATATCAGATATACTTTCTCAATTTCAATCTTTGTTAGACTTTTTCCATAAGACATGTATTTGTACAGCATAGTTGTTTTTTTATGTTATTATACTACAGAGGCATTTACTTGGAAATTACAGATTGATTCTAGAAGCCTTTTAGAAATAGAATAAAAATTTACTAATTGACTAATTCTTTTCCCTAATTTCTTCCTTTTCTATTTTTTTTTTCTCTTTTTTTTTTTGGGGGGGGGTTCAAGACAGGGTTTTTCTATATTACTTTGGAGCCTCTCTTGGAACTTGCTCTGTAGACTAGGCTGGTCTCAAACTCACAGAGATCCACCTGCCTCTGCCTCCCCAGTGCTGGGATTAAAGGTGTGCACCACCAACACCCTGCTAATTCTTTCCTTTTTAGCTGGAATCTTGGTGGAGTTACAGTACTAATGAGCATGTGGTTTATATTGGGTATAAATGTTGATGAAGGCAATTCTATTTTAGGCTTACTTACAGGGCTGGTAATGAGATACTGAAGAAAGTTTCTGATGTGTTTTCCCTTGTCTGCAGGATGATGTAGCTTTGCTAAGGGTTCAGAAGCTAAGCCGAAATGAGCCTAACATCCTGGTTTCTTGTGAGCAGTGGAGGCACTCGCCACAGGCTGCCACGAGAGATGATTTTTGTTGGAAGAGATGACTGCGAGCTCATGCTGCAGGTAACAAATGAACCTGGCTTAGCTGGGTATCAAGAGCTGTCTTCCCTTTTATAGAGCCACAGTATGCAGTCAGATATCAGATACACAATTTCACCCTTGTATCATCTGTAAATAAGTTGTGTTTTGAGGATTTTCTTTTGAAAAATGAAAGCTTAAAATAGAGAAATGTGTGTGTGTGTGTGTGTGTGCGTTTGATGTACACATGTGTCCATATAGGTACATTTACTATGTTTATTAAAAAAATTCATTTCCAAGAATTCTAGTTTTAGAATTCATATTTTAAGTGATAATAAATTTGGTCAGATATCCATCATTTTGTCTCTTTTTATCATGTAAGACTGGGTTTCTTATGCAGTTTGTCTTGTAATATTCAGTATTATAGGAAGAAATCCTGCAAGGTAATACTTTCTTAACAATAAGATAGGTAAAATAGAAAATAATTCATTGGATTTCCTATGTGTGTATGTATGTATTTATTTATTTTGGTTTTTTGAGACAGGGTTTCTCTATTTCTTTGGAGCCTGTCCTGGGACTAGCTCTGTAGACCAGGCTGACCTTGAACTCACAGAGATCCACCTGCCTCTGCCTCCCAAGTGCTGGGACTAAAGGTGTGCGCCACCAACACCCAGCAATTCGTTAGATTTCTGTGTAGCAATTTCACAATTTTTAAACTATACAGTTTGATATATCCAACAAAATTAATTAATTTAAATTCAGATATAAAATATAAATTTATTGATAAGAGTATTTTGGAAACTTAACTATTTTTGTCTTTAGGAAATGTCAAATTTATGTTGTATAATACAGTTTAGATTTAATTTAATCTGCTTTTTTGATCTGTCCCTATATTTTTCAGCTGTCCCACTAATATTGTATACATAGGTAAAAATATTTTTTGTTACTTATTTTGGTATTTTCTTGTAGGTATTAGCTTAAACTTTTTTCCTTTTAGTCCCGTAGCGTGGATAAGCAGCATGCAGTAATCAATTATGATGCATCTATGGATGAACATTTGGTGAAAGATTTAGGCAGCCTTAATGGGGTAAGTTAACCGTGTAGTTTTTACTTTGGTTGAATACTTGTTTAATGTTAATAAAGTTGTATTCCTTGTTTGTATATTCCCCTTTTCTTTAGTTTGTCTTTCCCTTTTAAATACTTAAAAGGTGCATAGTACATATATGTAAGTCATATATAGAAGCTAAGGAATAAATAGAGTAATTAAGAAAGGCATTTAATGTTATGATGTGTGATAGATTTCTTTAGGGAGATGAGGTGGAAGTCTGAGCTCAGTATGTGACTGCAGTTTTTCTGTGGGGAGATGAAAAAGTCACTGGTGGTAAGAATGTGAACCACTTTTGGGCACAGGAGAGACATCTCACTTTTAGAAATAAGATGGGAAGGTAGATTAGGTGCTAGATACTGGAGGATTTTCTCTGTTCGAGGACTGGAGTAGAAACAAGGATGAAACATTTTCATTAACACACAGTGCTTTGGGAACACTAGGATTTGCTCTTGTTGCTTTGTCTTTGCTTGTTAGATATTTTTGTGTAACTGGTAGATGTTTTTTTATTCCTGTATGATCTTTCACATTTTGCAGACTATTTTATGAAAGGATATGAAAGAATATTGATGTGTTGAGTTATTTCAACATCTTAATTTTCTTGTGGCTCTTCTAACAATCAGATATATCATCATTGATATTATAGCCTGTTGAAATTTAATAAATTACCTGTATTTTGAATGTTTGAATTACATCCATGTAAAATATACTTTAAACCCATGGAAAGCATATCCATAAATAGAACTTTTTCAGTTTATAATTTGCCTACTACTAAAAGACATATTGATTCTTTGAACTTTTTTGAGTTAACTATTCTGTTGATTCTAGTACATGTAATTATGTTGTCATTCTTCAGATTTGTACTGAAACACCTTCCTTGTGGCATGAGACATTACATAACCTGTCACCTCCAGGACTATAGCCTTACTGTTGTCTGCTCTTCTCCAAGCAGGAGTCCAAATGGGTTAGACTTTCTTTGGCTTATTTGTCTTTCCATTCTCTTTGCCACTCTATAGTTTTTAAGGACTAAAACTCAAATTCTTCTTAAAGGGATCAAAGAAAAGGTCCTTGCATTTAGGAACATAAAGTGGTTAATGTTAATATGCTGAAAGAATTAAAATTTAAAAAAAGTAGGCAGCATGTGCTATAAAGGATATATGTTAATAGTGTGGATTCCTAACTCCTGTTGGCTAGGTTTTCTTTTTTCCTTTTTGTACACCAAAAAACCTGTGTTTTAATATCTGTTTTGTGCTTGATTATGAATTACTGGGTGATTCATATGATTTCAGCTTTTGTAATTATAATCACAGTACACAGCTTTATACAGTTCATGAATTTTTCATATGTATGTGTGTATATATGAGAGCTTGTGATTGAATTATATATACATATAGTAATTATATATAGTAACTGTGGCTATTTATGATTGAATTTATATAATTGAATTAACTTTCAGTCCAAGACCTTGTGGAAAAGAAAGTTTTAATATTTTTCTGTGTAGGATAGTTAATAACATATTATTCAAGTTTAGAAAGTTTCATTTCAACAACAGTTTTGTTATTATATGTCTTGATATTATCGTTTAGGAAAATAGTGAAGGTATTTACCCTCCATACTCAACTTGAAAATACCACTTCCACACTTACTATTCCTTTTACCCTGTCAAAAATATACTTCCAAGGGACCTGAATATGTATTTTTACCTCCAGAAATGATATTAAAGTAAGGCAGAGAGAGTTGAAACTGGCTTTATTGCTGTGCTTTGGTGGCCCACATTTCTGTGAGCCCATTGATGTTTCTCTGTGAGAACCTTGATTATATTCAGCTCTCCTTCCACTGGAGCACTTGGCCTCTGTATTGTACCATGACTGTCATGTACCAATCCTATCTTTTGTCACTATGCTACTATACAGTAGCCTACATTCCAGCCTAGGGTTTTGATTCCCTTTTCTCAGACTGGAGCTCCTTAGGACATGCGTTTAATCCCCAACACACATGTAAAAAGTTGAGTATGATTACCCCCATGTTTGTAATCTCAGTACCAGGGAGCAGAGACAGGTGATTCCCAGCATGTGCTGGTCAGCACACCTATCCTAACCAGCAAATCCTAGTCTTAGTGAGATACTTTGCCTCAAAATCTAGATGGATTGTGAAGAACACTGTCTGAAGTTGACTCCTGTCCTCCACAAACAGCAGCACCAATGAACACACGCACACAAGCAAACATGCGTGGACGGACACACACACACACACACACACACACACACACACAAATTAAACATTAAAATAAAATTTAAAAATATAAAACTAGGTTCGTGATGGGAGATACTGCATGGTCCTTATTAAATGACTAACACAATGAAAACATCTTGCTTTCTTTTTGTTCTTGGAAGTACTCTTGTTGATTCTGGATGAAAGAAAAGTGAGCTATTATTATCCTCATTCCCTGAAGATACACAGTGTAATAATTTTGTCTCTGCTATGATTATATCATTGTCATAATCTATAGTGCTCTTGTCTATTCATTGTGTTATTGAGTTGCATTTTATTTCCTGTTTGACTCCCTTTGCTTCAATGGACATGTAAACTAAGTGTTTTTAAGAAAGACAAAAAAAAAAAAAAAAGAAAACAAAAACAAACAAACAAAAAAAACTACAAAGATAGCATCTCCAGATGTCTTCTTGGAAAGCTAATGCAATATGTCAGGCATTGCAGTAAGAAACTGAAGGATGACAGAATGACTTAATGTCTTTGATGCCTCATTTCTCTTTCTGAGCTTTTCACTATCATAGCCATTAGCGACCACTGAATACATGAGACATGACTAGTCTAAATTCTAAAAACTTACGAATATGTGAAATACCTTACTAATTTTACTTCACCTAGTATGTTTTTAATATACTAGATTACATTTCAAATGCATTTTCAAAACTAATTTTAATTCTTGTTACAAACCTACAAGAAAATACAGCTGGGTGGTGGTGGCACATGCCTTTAATCCCAGCACTTGGGAGGGAGAGGCAGGAGGATCTCCGTGTCTCCGTGTTCAAGTCCAGCATGGTCTACAAAGCTACACAGAGAAACCCTGTCTCAAAATTAAAAAAAAAAAAAAAAAAAGAAGAAGACGAAGAAAGAAAAAGAAAAAATACATCAAGTAGTGTATACTGTTTCATTAAGAAGTTGTGGCATATTTCTCTTGAATAGTGTATTTCTAGACAATTCTGTGGTTTGTTTTGTTATTGGTAATTTTCAGCATTGTTAGAAATAATTGAGTAAAAATGAAGTACCATGGTGAAAATAAAACAGAATTTCAGCATACAGGAAAAATTCATTTACTAAGATATAAGGTACCGCAATGTGTCATAGATTCATATAAAGATCCAAGGACTCATAGGGCAGTTGTAAAGCAACCACAAGATGGCTCAGCAGTTAAAAGATGCTTGCAGCTAAGCCTGAGCTTAATTTGTTGCAAAGAAAACTAATTCCAGTAAGTTGTCCTGACTGCCACATACAAAGTTCAGTGCACATGTATACACATATATACATAATAAATTAATAAATGAAATAAAAAATTTTAAGTGGAATGATTCTGAGAATGAAGTGATAAAATGTTAATGTCTACAAATAAAATTCTTAATAACCCTGAAGCTGTTTAGATTTAAGTATTTTACTTTGTACAGGCTTCTAGGTTCAGATTAAGAGCTTTCCTGACTTCATGATTAGAAAAATTCCATGTTTCAAAATTCACTGTGCTTTGTGTTACCAGTAGTAATATTGACAAAGGGTCAAGTATGAAATACTCATGCTGTAGGCTTCTTGGCACATGTTGGGATTGCACTTCATCCAAAGTACTTTTGAGTAGTAATAAGTTGATGAATTTGACTGAAATGTGAGATTTAATACTTCATATTACCTTTTTCTTTCTTCCTTGTAGACTTTTGTGAATGATGTAAGGATACCAGAGCAGACTTATATCACTTTGAAACTTGAAGATAAGCTGAGATTTGGATATGATATCCTTATATAATTTTATGCATTTATTAAATGAATTAAAAATATGTACTATGCAACAAGTAACATCTTGTGATGTCAGAATTCACAATACTTTCTGTTTTCTGCTTGTTTCCGGTTACTGGTTCCTAGGAATGATCTTTGGTAAGACTCAGCTATTTCCCATCTCTCTTTGTGTGCTGCCATGCATATAATTTGAGTGTTAAAAGAGTGGGACTGGGAGGACAACAGTGAAGGTCTCAAGTACTGTCTCCTAGGTTCTTGCCAGGTGAATTATGAATTCCCAAGTCAGTCTCTTAGGATAGGAAACATTAACCTGCCTTCCCCCTCTGTGCTATACTACTGGTTAACTCAAACTTTAATATAGCCTATTTTCTCACACCAATTTTACTTGACTAGCCCATTGTCATTTAGTGTATATTTGAATTTTTGTTTAAAAATCAGAGTTTAATAATTGGACAGGTATTTTACTGACTGTAAAGAATAATGTCAAGGAACCTAGTAAAATGAATATGACTAAGCTATAATAACATTTCTATTTGTATTTAGTTAAAACATATTTCTCATTATGATGAAAATTTCTCTTGAGAGTTATTAATTTTTAAACATTTACCAAAACTCGAATAATAATTCAGTTAAACATTAGCAATCTCATAGACTTAGATCTCTTTATCAGAGAAATTAAAGTCTGCGATAACTCTAGTTGATACACAAATATACTGACACAAATAACAAAAGACAGAATATATAAAGTTTAAAATTTAAAGCTAGACTATAAATATAATATTTATATTTGAAAAACTGAAAAAATATATAAATTGAATACTTGTTACATATTCTAAATCTTAAAAAAATATGTATGGTGAGGCTTGTGAGATGGCTCAGCAGTTAAAGTTACTTGCTACCAAGACTGGCAACCTGAGCTCAATCCCCATGACCCACAAAGTAGAAGGAGAGGACAGACTCCTGGAATACATTGTGTGACCCCTGCATATGTATCTTGGTGCACAAGCTTGCACATATACACCAAATAAATAAATGTAAATGTTTTAAATTACATAAAGTAGTTAAAATTATTTTCAACAGTTAAGTTTTATCAAAACTACAAATATATTTTGTATTCAAGTACCTCCTGTAATTAATTTACTATTAGCTGTCTTAAAACAAGGGAAGATCCTAAGAAATTCAGATTTTAATAAAATTTTGTAAAGTTACTTTTGAGTACTAATTTCAGAAGAAACTATAGCAAATGCAGTAGAGTAGTATACTTCTAATCCTCACTTCTCTGGAGACTGGACCAGGAAGATGGCTTGAGCATGTCAGAGCACTTAACAAGAGGAGGAGGATGGATAGGGCATGAAAGAGGAGGAGGCATAAGAAATAGCCCATGCTTTTGCAGAATGCTAACCTTTCCCCCACTAATATGTAACTCATAATGCATCTAAAATTGGCTAGGGCTTTTAATTTTTTGTCCCTAAGGACATCCTCAGAATCATACAGTCAGTATTGAGCTAGCCTGTTATTCAAATGCCCAGCTGAAGCTCATTTATTTTCATTTAGCATATTATTCTGATTATAATTCTAAGACTTTTATATAAAGCAGTGGTTCTCAATTTGTGTTTTGCGACCTCTTTGAGAATTGCATATCAAATATCTGAGTATCAGTTATTTACATTACAATTTATAACAGTAGGAAAATTATAAAGTAACAATGAAAATAATTTTATGGTTGGGTCATCACAACATGAGGAACAGTACTAATGTCATGGCTCCAGGAAAATTGAGAACCATTGATACAAATGAACATAGGTCTGTTAAATTGGCAGAAATTTTATTCCATAGAACAGAATTTTTTAAACCACTTCATGTGATAGCTATAGCTGTTTCTGTATTACCTATAGTAGACAGGGGAAATTGTCATGCTTTATTCACATATAAAATCAATAGCCAGTCTATACAGATTATGCCCTAGAGTGGGACACTCCAATTAACAACGTGCCACCTTAATGGGATGACAACATTAACATGGCTTAAGATTTTTACTAGAGAACATAATGTATATGCTGTAAGGCTGCTTTTTAGCTAGAGACTTTTCTTTTGAAAATCATGAACTCTGAAATATTCCAATTTTCAAAATGACCATAAACTCAGAACAATTGATAAACTTCAGAAGCTTGTGATCATTCAAATGTGGCAGGTAAGGAGGCCAAATAAGTTCATTCATTTCATATTTGTTGGATGCTTCCTATTATGCAGGTGTAGTTTTGGTGGTCTGGAGATTTACTAAATGATTTTTTTTAAACAATATTAGCCTTTGAATTCACTTTCCCTTCCCCAACTCCTTTTGTAACTCTCCTCTCACCTACCTTCCCTCCCAACTTTGAGTTTTCTTTTTTCAGTCTTTCCCCCCTGCCCCTCCTCAGTTTATGTGGCCTAGGTAGCTGGCCTAGGTAGCTAGCCTTGGGATTGGACCTGACCTGGAGTGTGGTTAACTGACCTGGGTCGGTTGTATCATTAAAGAAAACTGACTCTAGCCCAGTGACTGGCCTCAGACTCGTAATCCTTTTGCCTCAGCTCCCTGGGTGCTAAGATTATAGGCATCTGCCACCATATCTGATTGTTGTTTTATTTTTTTTACTTTTTAAGACCATTCAAAATCCTGGGTTTCAAATACATTTTGCTTTTGTTGCCTCTTTACAGTCTTACATTTCCTGCTTTCTTGTAAATGTTTTATTACCATCCTCTTCAGTACCACTTTTCTACTTTCTTGACCTTCTTCCCATTATCATTACAAGTTCTAGATATTAACCCCACTCCAAGTGTAGCTAACACATTTTCTCCCATTTTATGGGCTATCTGTTCACTCAGCTGGTAGTTTGCTTAGCTGTGCAGAAGTTTCATAAGTCCACACAGTCCCATGTTTGCCTATTTGCTGTGCTATCAAATCCTGTTCAGAAAATTTTTGACCATGTCTATGTCTTGAAATGTTTTTTCTGTTTTTCTCTAGCTGTATCAATGTCTCAAGTTCTTAGTTATGGCCATTCATGCACTTTGAGTTGATTTTTGGCCAGATTTGGATCTCGCTTCATTCTTCTGATCATGGACATCCAATTTTGCCTGCAGCACTGACTTTTAATAGACTGTCTTTGTTGTAACATGTGTTTGGGACAATCTTGTCATATTAGCTCTCCATAGCTTTGGAGGTTTCTTTTATGTTCCATTGGTTAATACGTCTCTTTTTTGCCACAACTGCGTTGTCATTGTCACTATTGCTTTACAGTGTTCTTGGGAGATCAGGTATTTTGATATTTCCAGAAATGTTCTTGTTACTTAGAATTGTTTTGGCTATTCATGGCCTTTTGTGTTTTTTTCTATTTATTTCTAGATTAATTTTTCTAGTTGTATGAAGGTATTGGGATTTTGATTAAGATTGCCTTGAGTCTATAAATTGCTTTGGTTAGCTTTTTCAAGACATAATTCTGCTAATCTAGGAGCATTTCTATGGTCAACTATTTTTCCAGTATCTTAAATTTTCATTGAAAAGGTCTACTGCCTTGATTAGGTATATCCTTGGCAGATAGATGCAATATTTTTTTCATAATTTTTTTTTCTCAGCAAATTTTGTTATTTGAGTATTAACACTACTGGTTTGTCCTTTCTTAAAATGTTGATTTTTATGCCCTACTACATTTCTGAAAGTGTTGAAGATCTTCTGATAGATCTGTAGAGCTTTCCAGGATAGAATTATCACATGAGCAAATATGGATAATTTGACACCTTCCTTTGTATTTTATGTCTTTCTTTTAATTGCTGAGGCAAAAAAAGTTCTAGACCAGTGGTTCCTAGCCTTCCTAATTCTGTGGCCTTTGTGGTGACCCTCAACCATAAAATTATTTTGCTGCTACCTCATACTGTAATTTTGTTACTATTTTGAATTATAATATAAATATCTGATGTTAAGGACCTATAATGTATGACCCTGTGGAAGTTATGAACCACAAGTTGAAAACTGCTTGCTAGATGATTTCCACTAAATGTTTAGTTACATGAATATTATTATGTATATCAGCAAATATGTATGTGTCAAGGAAGGGGAAAATTTAAATATTTAGACACACAAAGATAGGATAGATGATGGAATATTTTCTTCAAATCTTGCTAAATGTTAATGGACTAAATAGTGTTAACTGTGATTCTTATTTGATAACTGTTATGTGATATATTCTGCTATATTAAGGTTAAAACCCTTCTTTTTATTTAGACAGAAAAGAGGAGATGATGGGAGATGTCATTCTGTATATGTTTCTCATACTGGTTAATAAATAAAGCACCGTTGGCCAATAGGAAAGGAAGATAGGAGGGACTAGGAGACAAGGAGGAAGAGAAAATAGTAAGGAGAGAGGAGGGAGAGCCAAGATGGAGAGTCGGGAGAAAGCAGTATGCTGCAGCTGGCTCCGGGTAAGAAGACCACGTAAAAATACATAGATTAACACAAATGGGTTAATACTTAAGACAGAGCTAGCCAATAAGAAAGTAGTAACTGGCCAACAGTATAATATCTAATACAGAGTCTCTGTATATTATTTGGGGCTGGCGCGGCGGCGGGACAAGACTGGCGGCGGGAGGAAAAACCCATACTCCTTACATTTAAGAGCAATAGGAAACCCCTTTATTGACAAGAAAGCTCCAGATAGAATTCTGTAAATAGATCCTTTGGGGATGGGGAGGTTTTCTCTCTCTCTCTCTCTCTCTCTCTCTCTCTCTCTCTCTCTCACACACACACACACACACACACACACACACACACTCCACACACACTCTCTCACACATACACACACACACACGCTCACACATCACAGTGACTACAGTTTTCTATCCTTGAGGTGATTGATAAATGCTTTGAATTAGTAAAGGAGGATAGAATTTAGTACATGTTTATAAATTTTCTTTCACTGTAAGGTTAAATAATGGTAGGAAATAGGACCTCTAGTGAATTGATCTTCAATAAGAAGCCTTGTTGTTTTGCCATAATAATGAAAGCATTCATTATATCTAGCACTTGTTCACATGTGTATAGAATCATTGTTTTATAATGTAATATGACCTTATTGCAGTACATGGAGGGAAGGGGGTGGTGGTATGGTTGCATATAAACACTAATTATAGCACTCATTTTCTTTGTACTTACAAAACAAACCTCATTATCAAAGTTTATAAAAATCTGAGTAATCGGTTCCTTCAGGATTTGCTGTTGGGTTTCAACTCATGAGATATTTTTATAACTTTGTGACTAGGAATCTATAATTTTCTTTATTTTGGTCCCATCAATTTGTTGTTTGTGAAAATTAAAAATGTTTGTGCTCTAATTATTTGAAGGCTGGTATTGCAATTTTTTTTTCTTTCTAAATCTTAAGATTTGAGAAATTTAGGTTCAGTGGTAGAGTACTTGTCTAGCATATGCAAGGTCCTGGATTTAATCCCCAGTACCTGTACAAATAGATGATAAATAAACATAATAATCCTATATTTACTCTTGAAATAGGACAATTTCCAAATTATATTTGATGACCATTTTCAAGCAAGCATAGTAACCAAAAGTTTGGAGTTATATTCTTCCTTAGCTCTGTTTACATACAAATCTCTTCACTGTAGTTCGAGGAGAAATGAGAGTACCTGAAGAAGCTCTTAAGGTAAGAGTTTATCCTTGTTGTTGCCTATTACTCACCACAGTTGACTTCTTTATGGAAGCTTCCCTCTGATTTTAAATGTTTTGTAGCATGAGAAGTTTACCATTCAGCTTCAATTGTCCCAGAAGTCTTCAGAATCGGAATTACCAAAATCAGCAAGTGCTAAAGGCACGGATTCAAAAGTGGATGCTACTCCAGAAGTGCCGCACAGAGCCACAGAGGCGCTGAAATCTGAGGAGAGACCCACGGGTGAGTTATCTGTATGCCCTGGAAAAGACCTCTAGTAGCCATATCTAGTTTTCTATTCAGAGTAGGGGGAAGGAGTGAGAGAGGGGAAGGAAGAGAGGAAGCACAAAAGAAAAACATGATCAAGTTGGGTACTCACAGTTGGTTAACTGTGGAATCACCTTTAAAGCAGCCAACTGGAGTTCCCAATACAAAGTCCCAGGACTGTCCCTTGAGGTGAGGCTTCCAAGTAACCACAGCAATTAACTACAGAAAGGTAGCATCATCTAATAGGTTGCTCACAACATGCAGTAGTAACTAACTGGGGAAACTGAGGCATTTAGCTGCAGTTCTCAAACGTAACTTCCCAGAGCTATATTTCCAGCCCCTCTTCTTCCTCTTCAGACTCTTTCATATCATGGGATAAGCAATAATAACCTCTACTGGAAAGAGTTTACCTTTTAGCTGTTCTCAAGGACACATGTTTTACTTTTGGGCTCTTTTGTTTTTCTCTCCCTCCCTGTCAGAGTTAGGGGGACTTGCTCGTCCCCAGACCTTGGAGGACACTTTGAGACAAACTGCTTGGGGTCTAAAGTGGGAGTTGAATGTAACTCACTTCCAGAACCAGCTTCTCAATGACCTCAAACAACACATGATTGTTTGTCAATAATTATATACATTTCAATAATAGCACATGGTTGTTGTCAATATAATATGCATTGCAATAAGCTAATCCCTTTGGAAATTCTGAATTTATACTTGGATCTTGAAGAAATTACATTCTTTGTTCTCAAACATGTGTCTATACCTGCATAAAAATAATTATACTAGTGATTGATCCCAGAGTACATTTCAGTATAGCCAGTTTTCCCTAGAAAACATTGACAGAACTGTATGTAGTTTGCACCCAATATCTTGACTATTAAGGAATGTGATTTCAATTATTTGAAGGAAATAAAAGTTTATTATTTCATGTTAACTATATTTTTCTAAATTATAATAGAAATAAAAGGAAAAATTTAATAATATACCATCCTCGTATCATAATGCTTATACAGTTTTAATAAATACAAAGTTGTTTTATGTAGATAATCCCTTCATGTAACAAATGTATTAAATTAACAGTACCATAGCTACTGGAACTAAAGATCTTTTAACATTGAGTACAAATGTAGTTAAACTACATAGTATTTTTATGTTGTTGCTAATGCCAGTATTTGCTTTAGTTTTATATTTTATATATGTAGATTTAGTGACATTTCTGATCAGACTGGCTTCATTATTCCTTTAGTAATTCTAATAAAATTCTTTCACCTATGACACTACTGTCTAAATACTCAAAGATCATTTGTTACTGGGGCCCAGGTACATATCAGAGAGCTCCTAACATGTAACAAAAAGCTATTGGATTATAGCAAGTTGCATTACTTAATCATTGCTGATCTTCATTCACTTAATCATGTCTAGTGCTATTTAAGGTCATGTTTAAATATTACATTAGTAAAAGTAGAGTACTTTTAATCAAGTAAGTACCATGCAAAATGTATTTTCTTCCTTCACTGCTTTAGAGAGATTTTTTTTTTTTTTTTTTTGCCACCTCTTTAGATGTTTCTGCTATGCCCCGTGGTACTCCATTATATGGGCAGCCATCATGGTGGGGAGATGATGAGGTGGATGAACAAAGAGCTATCAAATCTAATGGCAAGCCAGAAGAAAAAAGTCATGAAACTGGGACTTCAGGTAAAAATACCAATGGCTGTGATATCAAATTCATATTGGTCAAGTATTCCAAACAAAAGTCAATCTACTCTGAAAAATGATCTATAACATAACTTGATTTTTTTAAGGTAGTGGTGGCTTTGCTTTTGTAATGTATTATGAGCCTCACATAAAATGCTAAATATGATATCTTTATAAAATCTTGTATTTTTCCAGCCTACGAAATCATTAAGCAGATTAATATCACAAACTGGACATTTTAAGCATTTTAAAGTTTGTAAATTAATTGATAATAGGGACATGTGAGTTATATGTTTTTACTTGATTCATACTCATATACTTAGTGCAAAAAAATTATGTTCAAAAATATAATATGAAACTGTAAGTTCTTTAAAGCCCTAGCATGCTTACTTTTTTAAGACAGCAATATGATTCAGGGTTCAGCAGCCAAATGTAGAAATAGATTTTCATATTAGTAACTAAGGAACATGGGTGGTTAAGTGGTGACCAGTATCCAGAAAAGTCAAGATTTCCAAGAGAAATGGAGATACAAGTTGTCTATATAAAGTTGTTATAAAGACATCAGAACTGACGGATGGAACAACCTGTTGCTTTATTAAGAGCAGCTAAGGATCCAAAACTGGAGGAATTAAGTACAGACACCAAGGGTCAGTTTGGAAGACATAGTATGATTCTGAGGCAAGGGCAAACCCCATCAGAACTCTTCCAAGGTTTTTTGTCTTTGTTTACACAAAGTAAGCAGAACAGCTTTCTTAGCTGGAGAGTTATGAACATTGTATTTTTTGGCACAGTATGATTACACCAGAGTACAGGTCTTTAAAAAACTGTCATGATCAAGTAGGACTTAGGATGCCAAACTTGAAAATAACTTCCCATCACAGCTTTGTTTCTTCACCAGTGCTGTTTCTTTATATCATTTAGTATTATTTAACATGCCTCCAGTTGTAAATGAATGAACTGCTCTCTGATACTAAGTGGGAAAGGAATGTATTGGCTCCCATACCTGATAATGCTCAGGGTTGTTCAATGCAATAGACAGCATTGTTAGCTAGTTTCGCCATCTCTGATTTGCTATCCACAGTACTTAAGTACTGTTAAGAGTTATCCCTCATATTCAAAGCTGCTGCCATCAGCATTCAAAGTTATGCAACTTTTGATCATACCCAACAATTAAGAACAAAAATTGTATACAGAAGACCTTCCAGTGTTTGGAAGAAAACTGCTCCCAAAATCTTCAACAGATCTCTCATTAGCTTCTCACAGATTCAGAAAGTCACCTGCTGTTCTAACCAGTCTCTGGCAAACCATGTGAGATTATCATTATCTTGCTCACTTTGGAGCATGGTATGGAGTTATTTATCCCTAAGGCATAGGAACAGTGTTACAGAAGAGTGGTAATTGAAAGTATTGAAGTTTCTCTTTTAGGAAAAAGTTCTTTAGGAAGGAAACTGGACATCAATCAAGAATGTCTACTTTTTTATGGTTTTGTCTCCATTTTACCTAATATATAACCTACTTTTGTTGTCTTTGTTGTTTTCACTGCTGAGTCATAATTAAACTTTTGACCTTAAGTTTCAACCTTATTGCCATAAACTTTGCATAGCAAATACGAACCGATCTTTAGTTTAATTCCACAACAAGAAGAACTACTTTGTTTTGCCTGACAAGATTTTGAACTTTTTGTTCCCTAGTGCACCTTAAATCTATTATCGTTTTAGTGTTCTCTCTCAGTGTACCCCACATAAATTGTGCTAATTCCTGACTCCTCCCACAGTACCTTGTAAATTACTAAGTGATACTATACTGCTAGTGAACAGTACTGCTTCAGTTAACTTTTTCTGTAAATCTTCATTACTGAACTCTAAATTCCTTACTTTAAGTACCATATATTCTAACCTCATTTTGCACTAAAGCCAACTATCTGGTTCGGGGGAGTATAACCAATTAGATGGGTTAAACACAGACCAATTTAATTGTTGCAAAATTCAGAAAGTAATTGCATAATAGTGGAAATTAAGGAGCCATAAAAATGGAGCCTTTTCTCCCTCACACAAGTCTTGAAATTCTGACATACCTAACTTGTAAAATACAATGCCACATTCATATGACTATGATAAAGAGTAGAACCATGACAAATAATGGCAAGCATTCAATTGCACTTAGTTTGTTTATTTCTTCCGAATGATTTGTGTGCATCTCGTCATGGCAATATCTAAAGGCATTTGTTGCTGTTACTTTTGTCCATTTTATAGATAAAAGGATTGAGACACAGAATGATGTTAATTCACTTACTGAAGAGAGCACTATTTATGAGATTCCAAAAATAAACACATCAAATTCCCATACAACAGGTGCAGAGCACGCTTCATTTACCACCAAATTTGATAACAGTACACCAGGAAAAATAACTATTAGAGACCATGTGTCAGAATTGACTTCTGACTATCACCACAGTCAATGAAGGCTTCAACAGAAGACCCTTTCTTAAATATAAATAAATTAATAAAGCCAAACTGGGCTACTAAAGGCCTATCTCAAAATAAATAAATATATCAAATACATGCGTGTACATATATATGTATATACACACATTTATATGTATATGTGTGTATATATATATGTTAGTAATATTCAGTTTAGTCATATAAATTCAGTTCTAGCTTAGTTACTAAATTACTCTTTAAATTAATTATAACGTATTAGTATAAACAAATACTATCCCATGTAGTTTAATTTGGTTTAAATGAAAATAGCTGTGAATAGAAATATGTCCGTTCAATGTTGTAAGAGAAGAAAGCTGTTGAATTTTTCTAGCATGATCTTAAAACTCCTTAGCAATTTTCCTAATATGTACTTCTAGTCAGGCTACAGTTCTGAAAGGCCCACATCTTTCATGACTTTGTCTACAGAGAAATCAATCTCTGTTAACATACTAAGTTTTCCAGATGAGTGAACTTTAATTTTACAACTGAGTTATTGGAAAGTTAAACCATTTGTCAAAAGTCGTTATGAAATGTAGTATCTACAGCACCACTTTCTTAGAGAAAGTTAAGAACAATTTAAGTTTTTCCTTCATTGCTGAGAATCACCATGTGTAAGCTATTGAACAATGAAACCTGACAGTAGTGTCCTCCACTCAGGCTCTTGATGCTGAATGGCACTGGGAGACTGTTTTCAAGGTCATTTATGTGCTCTTGATTTTTGCCTAACTGCTAGTCTTTGCTATAATAATTTCTCAGATATTTTCACTTTTCTTTGGCAAACCAAATGGAGTAAATTTTGAAAAGAATAATTTTTATTTTGAAAGTTTCTATTAAATATTCTCTGACTTTTGTGTATTTTTTTTTTGACATTATGACATGGCTATTGTGATCATTATTTTAGTAGTGGAGCCTGATATCTTCTATACCATATTTGATGACAAAAATATTACTTTGTAACAAAAGAAGATGGTTTTGTTATAATTTCATATTCAATGTACTAAAAAGAAATCAAGTATAGTACCTAATGAATTGTATGAAAAGATACTTCAGAAGACTACATACTTTGTGTAATTAAAAAATGATTGGAAACAGCCTAGTATGACTGTGTTGCCTTTTCTTTCTAGTAAATTATAATTGATTTACTATGAAATCTGCTTAAAATAAGGTTGATATTTGAGCCTTAGGGAAATTTACTTCATATTAATTCTTTTATGATAGTAGGCTGTCTTGGTAATAGATTATTTTCTCAACCAAAGGGCAGATTAATCTTCATCATTTTTCTTACATCTTGTATTACCAAATGCCTGTTTTCACATTTTTATGCAGTCAGCGGCTTAAGCAATGTAGGAATTGTCAGATGTACTATTTTTGCCTGATCTCCTTGCCACTCATTGCTTGTTATTGAGCTTTCACCCATGACCTTTGGGAAATTGTGCACATTCTGCTAAACAGAGGTGTATACTAAGTTTCTCCCAGACTTACTGGCTGACTATGGAATTTTCTCATTTTGCATTCTTTCACACTACTGCTTGAATTGCCATGCTGCAAACAAGCCACATGTTTTATCGCTAACCTCTCTTACATTCTAACGTGTGTCATCTTCCAAGTTTCTATATTGTCAATTTTGTCTAAAGTAGGTTCTCTGAATAGGATAGAGACTAGTAAGTGGAATTGTGACTTCCAAAGCATCATTTCTATATTTTCTTCTGTCTCCATCCTTACTTGGCTGCCTCTTCCCTATCAGAGTCCTATGTCTGTTCTCAAGTGTTTCAAATAGCTGTTCTGGTACCTGGATTAGGTAATTGATGCTTTTTCTATCATACTATGTATGTGTGTATTTATACACACATGTATGTACAGGCATCTCCATCTATACTTTAATTCAATTTGATGATTTCTAGACCCTTCTTTTCCTGCTTTTTTTTTTTTTTTGTTTTATTTTGTTTTTTGCCATTCCTACTGTTTATATCTCCTGTTGGTAATTGAATCATAGTCAAGATCCTTTAATCTCTGTGACTTTTTTCTGTCGTATAAGTGCCATTGTCTTTCATCCGGATTATCATCAGCTTTTTGATTCTCAGAATAATGCAAGTGGTCATTACCAATGACTGTCATGCTACAGACTTCCAAATATTTTGAATTCTGTCTCGTTTTTCTCATTAGGGTGCAGCATAGATGCCAAGCAAGTGGAAGAGCAGTCTGCAGCTGCAAATGAAGAAGCACTGTTTCCTTTCTGTAGGGAACCAAGTTATTTTGAAATTCCTACAAAAGAATTCCAGCAGCCATCACAGATAGCAGAGAGCACTATTCATGAGATTCCAACAAAAGACACACCAAGTTCCCATACAGCAGGTGCAGGGCACGCTTCATTTACCATTGAATTTGATGACAGTACGCCAGGAAAAGTAACTATTAGAGATCATGTGACAAAATTCACTTCTGACCATCGCCACAAGTCAAAGAAGGCCACTCCTGCAACTCAAGACTTGCCAGGAATTCAGACAGGAATGATGGCACCAGAAAACAAAGTAGCTGACTGGCTAGCACAAAACAACCCTCCTCAAATGGTGTGGGAGAGAACAGAAGATGATTCCAAGAGCATTAAAAGTGATGTTCCTGTGTATTTGAAAAGGTTGAAAGGTAAAGTGACTTTCAGAGATACCTACTGGTCATCAAACTTACCAGACTGCTATTATTTAATTATACAGTGGAAAATATCTGCTTTTCAAATTTACACTTAATTTTAAAGCTCAAAAGCAAACAACACTGTTCATGTCCAAATTACTCATTCAAAATAGCCTTTCTTCATTTTCTTCCCAATGTGGTTATATTGGTTTGTGGGGGAGGATATTTATTATTAATTACCTTTATTTTTTCCTACAGAAATGCAAAATCTATTAATTAGACAAAATAGAATTTCCTAAATAATATTCCCCATTGTTTTATTGACTTAAAGAAAGAATACAATCAGTCCTTTCATCTGTATTATGCTTCCAATAAAGTATCATAATTAGGTCTTGAAAACAAAATTAAGATACTTGGTGTGAACTGAAAGAGCTCTTTAGCTCAGATAGTCACATTATTGATGGGGTGCTTCAGACTGTAAGCTGTTTGCAGAGGCTGCTCACAAAACATATTTTCAGTTTAGATGAATTTACTAGATATCTATTCTAACATAAATTTTGTGCTGACAAGAATTATAAGTTAAATGTTCATTTGTGGACATTATTAACATATTATGTAGTAATATTGGCTGTATATACTGTATTCAATACTTGATCACAATCATTAAAATCTTTATATGGACATTGATTATAACAAATCATCAGCTTTATTCCCACTGGTCTTGTGAATTGAATTTATTTTGGAATTTGTGTTATTCTGTCTTGTGTTTTAATATGCTACCAATACAGGAATGGTTTTGAACAAATTATGGTTGTACGTAAATCTAACCATTCTGTGGCTTTTATTAGGAGCTGATTACTTCTATTTTTAAAAAATGCTTTTTGAGGTAGGGATCACTTATGTCTTATTCTGTTTCTTAACATTTCATCTGGACCTCAGCATATGATGTTATCTAGTGACTTCATTGTTAATGATGGAATTGACTAGCTTAATTCATGCCTTACACCCTGGAATTCTGGTCAAGTAATGAAGAAATAGTAATTTATACTTCGTACCTATTTGTTCCTAAGACATTTCAGGATAATGAGATCATGTGATTACCTAATTCCTTGTTGTCACCTATTATAATATTTGGTTATAGTCATCAGCAGTCACCTGGAATAAAGAGTTTAGAGTTCTGATGTGACATATTTACTCCTCTACTAGATGATATATATAATTGAAAAATATGCATTTGTAAACTGACCATTAATATAAATTGATGACAATATTAATAAGTTAGTATACTATCAAAGGTAGTATATATTTTGAAAATGAGTTGTCTTAAAAATTCGTACTTTTACTAAGTATGTGAAGGTTGAGTTGAAAAGATCCTTTAGGAAGGATCTTTGTTAAGGGTCTAAAGAGGTAGCTCAGCAGTTAGGACCCAGGTTCAGTTTCTAGAACCCAGATGTTAAGTCCACATCACCCATAAAGATGTCCAGTGCCCTCTTCTGACTTCTTCAGGCACCTGGCACTCACAGGTTGAAATTGGATACATGCAGGCAAAATGCTCATAGACATAAAATACTTAGAAAAATCTTTTAAAGTCCTTTCATAACAGTGCCATTGTTACTGTTTTAAACTATCAGTTTAGTATATATTCTCTACTTTTCACCAAGACCTGTTTGGGCCTAATTAAAAGTAGAATCATTAATGTCCATATGAACATTCTCTGTACACTGATCAGTATATATTTTAAAATTTTGCCAAAAATTAATCAAATTACTATCAACTTTTAATTTGATTTACAGGTAGGCATCTCTCAGTGTGGTACCATTGCTGAGAACTCTTCTTTCATATTTAACATTATTCTGTTTTTAAAGCCCTTCAAGAAAATCCTTTCACAGCAGTAACTCACTTTGTATCTCAAATAGAGCCATGTTATTTCTTCATATTTATTCACAAATGGTATTTGACTTGCTTCAGAAATCAGAGTTGCTATCAATAGATAAGTTTCCTACTATTTAGGTTGTGAAAGGGATATATATTCAGGTTGTGTATAAATGAAGACAGTAGGTAGTAAAAATTTCTTAAAACTTGAACTTTTTAGTAACTAAAAATCAGTTAAGCAACTAATACAAGGTAGATAGAATAGATTAAATGATAGATAGACAGACAGACAGACAGACAGACAGACAGACAGACAGACAGATAGATAGATGCCTTGCTCCTATAAGAGTAAAGTGCATGCGCTTTGGGACAGTGAGGAAAATAATGTTCACAAAGCCCATACACTTTCACCCTTTAGGAGAGTTGCAGCTTCTTTTAGCCACAGCTTCTTATAAAGTACAGCAAAGCTAACCTGTATTAAGTGAACTTCCAGATTTAGGCATAATTAATGATGGGCAGATGAGCATGTTGAGCATTTCCTGGTGGTCTTTTTGTTGAGCAGAATCAGAAGATTGCAGCTCTGACCTGATGCCTCATCTTTCTCACCTTGTGTAATACTCTGAAGCACTAGAAAGAAGGAATAGTAATTCTACAAGAAGGAAAATGTTTAATCTGCAACAAATTAATAGTAGGAAAGATATGAAAATGATGTTTTCATTAAAAATTTTGATTGTAAGTTTTTTTGGTTTTCCTGTATAGGAAACGTTATAGTTCATTCTTTTGGACATTAGCAAACTAAATTCCTATTCAGTTTATCCAACCCAATTGTTTTAAACAGTGCTATAGTAAAAATTGTATTTAAACTATTGGTTCTATTTGTACCTGCTTTCCATATGCTACCCATGGTTCCTAGATTAATTATGAGTGGCAGAGATTCCATCTATTAAACACATACATTTTGGGTAGTAAATAATTTGAATAGTTTTACATTTGTCACCTTTGTTTTTTAGATTAATATATCACTTTGAATATGCACAGCCTCATACATTATTATCGCCCTTTGTTTTCTCTTTTTCAAGATGTCATTCAATTCTAACATTCCCTTGTCTATACTCCTTCTTTTTATATGGTACATTTTGAAGGCAATTGTCTTGTATTAAATTATCACCACTGTTGGTAGCTTCCAAATTTAGGAACAAACCCATATACTTTATAATTCTTTCCCTAGACACAATTCATATTCTTTCATACACATCAATTCTTATTTTTCTGATTGGTTTTCTTGTAGGCTAATACACTATTTTCAGGTGTTTGTATTAGGATAGAGAGCCTGGAAGTGTTCAGGAATGTTTGTAATCAGATTGCTTCTGGAATCTGCCAATGTATATTCCGATGTGCCAGATCATTTATAACTTTGAAAGGATTTTAGTTAATCCTTGAGAGCAGCTAATGATCTGATCCAGAAAAACTTTGGTTAAGAAACAGGTGTTTCAAAGTTCACATATGTTTTAATATGAATATGAAATCTGCCTGTATTTATTTGTACCATGTAGTTTAGTAGATGGAAGGTTGTCAGCATCTTTTAACTCTTTGAAGCTACTAGAGTTTAGAGATCTATGCTAAGAAAACATTTGTAAAATTATGTCATAAATATAAACTACAAATTTCAATCTTTTTATTGAAAGGTATGTTGAACTTTTAAAAGTATCAAGTGTCACAATTTAGATAACACTCCATTTTTATGACATTTATGTTCTGTTTAATAATAAGTGGTTGTTCTTATACCATTCTTTTAAAAAATTACCACTTTTATTTTTTGAGATAATGGCTTCATTTCCCCTGTTTCCTTTCCTCCCTCCAGACCCCCCCAAGTGCCTCTTCTCAGTTCAGTCTCTTTCATATTATTGCACTCTTTTTCATTAATTCTTGTTATAAACATAACTCCTAAATACATAAACATAACCTGCTCTGTCTCTATAATCTTGCTTGTATGTGTTTTCAGACAGGGATGACCATTTGGTATTAGATTACCAATTGATGTGTTTTTCCTTAGTTGGAGAAGACTGTTTCTCCCACTCCCAGAATTCCTTAGTCACCTGCAGTTCTATGTGTAGGGTTGAAGCCTTGCTCACTCTTCGTGTTTTAAGAGTCAGTTTTTTGTGGGGTTTTGTTGTTTTGTTAACAAAGGTTTATGATTTAGAGGCAGAACTAATGTGTATTGCTATTACAAGTACAAACTATGACAGATGGTAAAACATTGCTTTTAAGTCATTGATGAATCTTTTATAAAGTTAGAATTTAGAGAAAGAAAAGTGATTCATCTGGTTATTTATGAAGGACCTATTGTTGGTTGATTAAATGTAATTGTAATCATTGCGTTTGAGGACAGTATGCAGAGCCTGTTACAGCAAACAACATACAACTTTGTATTAGGAAGAGGAAGGGTGTCAAAACAAATAGCACTTATGTATGTGCTTCTGATTTTCTCCACGGAATTTTTTTCTTTCCTACTATATCATTCCTCTCTTATGTCCAGGAAACAAACACGACGATGGCACACAGAGTGATTCAGAAAATGCTGGGGCACACAGGCGCTGTAGCAAGCGTGCAACTCTTGAGGAACATTTACGACGCCATTACTCAGAACAGAAAAAGAAGGCCCAATCTACTGAAAAGCATCAAGACCAGGCCGTTGTAAGTCAAACTGCTTTTATGATTGCATTCTTTGATGAAGATCATTCGAGAAAGAGAAGGTCATACTCTTTTACGCAAAGTTCAGGAATCTCATGTCAGGAAACTACTTTCTCAGCACCACATACAAAACTTGAAAAAGCAAAATCTCCACCAGCAGATGCCAAAGTGGTTTCTTTGTCTTTACAGACTAGCTCTACGCATCACAGAGGGGGGCATGGTGTTCCACATGGGAAATTGTTAAAACAGAAATCAGAGGAGCCATCGGTGTCAATACCCTTCCTACAAACTGCATTGTTAAGAAGTTCAGGGAGTCTTGGGCACAGACCAAGCCAGGAGATGGATAAAATGTTAAAAAATCAAGCTACTTCTGCTACTTCAGAAAAGGATAATGATGATGACCAAAGTGACAAGGGTACTTATACCATTGAGTTAGAGAACCCCAACAGTGAGGAGGTGGAAGCAAGAAAAATGATTGACAAGGTAAATAATTGAAATTTGAGTATGTTAGTTTTGTGGGGCTTTTGACTATTGGACCTTATTGGAGACTTGGTGTGGAATGTTCTCATGTAGTTGGTGGTATTGGAACTTTAGAGTTTTATTAGCAACCTAGATAACCAACAGCAAGATTAAAATATTTTCTGCTTTTATTTTGCTTATATTCTTAATTTTCCTGAGTTTTATATGTAAGGTCCTCTAATTTAAACTTACCTGGGCTTACACATTTGATTGGCTTTAAAAGTAATGTTATTTTGCATTTATTTATATCAAAACTGAACAAAGAAATACATTGCTATAATTATTAAATTATATTAACAGGTTTTCTACCTACTGATTTCGTTTTGGAATCAGATAAAAAGCATGTGTTGTGATTATCTTTGATTTTTTTTGTTCCTCTTTACTGCCATCTTTGATGAAATCCAAACAAAATCAGTTTTTATATTTTTTTTCATTGTAGTCAGGCTTAAACCCAGACTTAATGATTATCTATATTTTAGATACTTCTTTGATGTTATTGGTTTAGTTATAGGATGATTGTATGCTTTTAAAAGTACTTCCCAGTTTTGTTGTAACAGTGAATAGTTAACATTAGAATGAGTTATTTCTTTTATGTCCTTGACAATAGCAACTTAAGTTTGGCTAAACATTTACCTCTCATTTAAATTCTTGTTACCCAAAATGTGCTCATGAGTGTATGTTATTGATATCACTCAGGAGGCACACACAGATTATATTGAATCAGAATCTGTGATTAAAAATAAGATGATCATGTGGCTCATATGCACATTAACATTTAGAATATGCCAGTTTAGATGATGAGTTTTCAGAATGGCTTGTCAGAATGGGCAAGTTCTAACCGTCTAGAATGCAGGAAAAAACTAGTAGGATTATGTTCACTTTTAATTCTCAGTGTATTCTATTTTAGTCTGTGTTCTGTAGTATTTGTGATGCATTCACTGCATACATAATTTTTGAGGAGTCTAACTATTCTACTGTTAGAGTGGCATAATGCCCAATTTTGAGACCTATTAGTCTTGGAAATAAATATTATATGCAAGCAGTGGTTTACTGTTGTTTAAAAAAAGTGAGTTATGGGTTTTAAGGTGCCATATTTTACTTGATGGTCATTAATATTTTCCATTAAAATATTATTTTATGGTTGTATATATTATAGAGGTTAAGAACAAGGCTATTTGCAGGCATCTGGAATTAAGTGTATAAACTTTACATGTACTTTGCTCTTGGTATAAATCAACCTTTTTAAGCTTAAATGTCATTTATTTCTGAAATGAAGTTTTTTTTTTTTTAACTTTAACAGAAATTCAAAAACATAGTATGCTTATCATGATGTCTATCATGAGAGCTGTATGAAAATGATATCTGAATATTACTTTTTATATTATTTCCACATATGACTCTCTACCCAAAGTACTGGGAAGTTCTTTCAACATTAAAAGGGTTAAATGTGAAGCCAAAGTCAAAGTTACAAGGACAGGGCACCAACCTGGCCTGGCTCAGCCAATGAGAAAGAAGGCACTGCTACAAATGGGCCTAAGAGAAAAGACAAGTTGGGGGGATTCAGTTCTCACCTTTTGAATTTATGGGATTCAGCTCAGGTTGTCAGGCATAGCAGCAAATGCCTTTATCTGCTTAGCCATCTCACCAGCCCCTCCATAACTCTAGAACTCCAGTCTTGTAATTTACTTTAAAAGGCTTTCTCTGACTCCCCAAGAGTAGCCATTAGCATCCCACTTTTCTGTCTATTAGGGTAGCATGTGTTTTTTTCTCTATAGAAGTAACCTTTGTCCGATTTAATTCTGCCAAGAATGATCTTTCTTTTTTGTAGTAAAGCATAACTGTCTTTTGAAGGCACAAATGCAAAAGTTTGATGTTCGTTTACATTGAGATGATCTTTGCAAATGTATCCCAGTGAATTTATAGGTTGGTTAAATTCAACATGATAACCCCCCACTTCCAGTCTTTTCTTGTCCTTTTTGTTTTGTTGTTTTGAGGCAGGGTTTCTCTATGTAACCACTCTAGCTATCCTGGCACTTGCTCTGTAGACCACGCTGGCTTCAAACTCACAGAGACATGCCTGTCTCTACCTCCTGAGTATTGGTATTAAAGGTGTGCACCACCATTGCCCAGCAATTTCTCTCCATATTTTTATACTCTAAAACTAGTTTTTATGTCTTGATCTCAAAATAACTTGTCCGTGTAACAAGCTTAGCTTTGTTAATAGTATTAAAAGTGTAAATGAATAGAGAGATTGGGTCAGAAGAAAAGAAAATATATTAATTTCAGAAAAAGTACATGTGTAGTGAAAGACTACAGGGCCTGCTGAGATCTACCAAACTAGCTTAAAATTGGTTTGACACAAAGATAAGAGAATGTGGTCATTGATAGGCAGCCGGATTTTATGAGGTGGTATATAAAAAAAATTTAGAAATTTTAACAAGAATTATATCAATAATTTTAATTTATCCAACAAGCTAATAGAATATTGTGAGAAGTTACAGAGTCAATAGAGAAAGATGTGGGAAATGATGGAAAGCCAGGGAATTGAAGGAAAACTAAGGCTATAAATCAAGAAAGTTAAAGAAATTAAACTATTTTTATTCAGAAAGACGCACCAAGGAAAAGATGAGATTTATGTAGGGCCTTATTTTAAAAATTGAAGTAAAATTCACATAACATAATGAGAATGTGCAGTTCAGTTAGGTATTACTATCTGCACTTTTAATTCCAGGACTTGGTAAGCTGAGGCAGAATGATTATTAGTTAAAAGTCAGATCTTAGAAGTAAAACATCAGTGTACAGTCTAGAAGCTGCTGTAATGCATACTCTTGTGTGATAATTGTGTTGTGCAACTCCAGAATGTATTCATCACTCTAAAGAGAAACTGCACTTGAATAGCCTTTTCCCATTGTTTGGACCCCTTGGAACTACCTTAACTGCTTTCTGTCTTTGTACATTTACATCATCTAGATATTTCATATAGAAAATCATTCTATCTGTGGCCTTTAATGACTGGCTACTTTTACTTTGAATATTGTCTTCAAGGTTCATCTGTGTTGTGACATGTGTCACTACTCATCCTTTTTCATGATAAATCAAATCATTCTATGATAGAACCTTTTATCTATTCATCTATTGACAGATGTTGAATTTGAATTCATCTTTGACTGTAAATGATGCCATGAACAAGAAAGTATTTATAGCCACAATAAGTGGTAAATGGTTTTTCCTAATCCAATTTGAATTCTTGTAACGATTTTGTCTAAATTTTGCATTTTAAGAGTTAGTTACTAATGTCTGAATCACAGTGTTAAATAATCACAATATATTTATTCCATTGAATTTTATGATATTTTTCTTTTTAAAAGTTAATTTATATTTTCCTGGGAAAATACTATAAATTTAAAAAGAAAACTTTCTTAAATCATCTTGAGTTCTTTGACACTATATGCTTGGAGTTCAGCATAGTTCTTAATTGATTGTTTCTTAAATGTTTTTTGTTAAGGTGTGGAACCTTGTACTAGTGATTTAACTTAGAGAGACCCTACTCGCTCATCTTACCCAGCAGGACCTTGTTTCTTGGGGCAAGAAATGTTCTGGTCTAAAACTTGACCATGTTTTCATTTTGACACCTTGTTAGGATTAAAATCTTAAACTCTTTATCATCCTTTAATGTAAGCCTACAAAAGTGTGGTGTTTATTATTAGATTCCTCATTTCTATGAGAAGAGTAATTCTAAATTTTAATTGACCAAGAGATTTTAGCACTGGGTCTCATTCATGTTAGGTGTGTACTCTGCCACTAATCTATACCCACAGTCCTATTTTTAATTTAATAAATTCAGTATTATGCATTGAAATTCTCATTTGGTCTATATTTGTGTTATAATTATGATGTAGTTTTCCCCTTCCCCTTCTTTCACAATGGGCTCTGTTTCCTATTGCAATGAGCAAATCTCCTATATCTGATATTACAATGTGTAATTTTGACCTATGCAACCATTTAATATAGATGGAATACAAATACCCATAAAATAGCCAAAAATACCAGCTCTTTAAATGGAGCACCAGTAGTCCCCAGCTCCACTCTTACCATTTTGAATAGAAAGGTGTGAAACTTTGGGCTCTGTAATTTAGACTTTTAAATAATGACAGTAACAACCTGGTAATAGAAAATAATGAAATCAAGGGCTTCACTTGTGCTGTATTACAGAGTCTGTTATTATCTGGAGGGTTTTTTTTTTTTTTTTTCTCCTTTTTAATGTTATTCTAAAGTTGAGACAGAAATCTAAAATCTGGTATTTACAGAAGTTTGGTTTAATAATAAGAGTGCCTCGGTATGGTTCTTTTAGATTTGTGTATGTGTGTGTTTATTAGATCTTGGTACGATTAAGTTATACAGATTTTTAAATTTCCTGTAGTGCCTACCTTAATTGCTTACATTTAGTAAGTACCATGCCTCTGTAGCCAATTGTTTTAATCACTGAACTCTAGATGGGAAACTTTATAATAAATATGATATGTCCATATTCTGAGGTAAAGATGTGTTTATTGAAACATTTAATAGTATGGAACAAAAGGTACTCTCCTCTTTCCCCAATATGCTGGAGGTAGATTATCTTCCTGTATCACGGAGACAGTAGTAGCAGCATGTGAATGTCATTCTTCTCCTCTAATATAAAATGAGACATCTCAGTAATCTGTCAGACCCCAAAGAGCTCCTTTTACACCTGTTCTGGGAGATTTAGAAATGGCAAGCTTCTGTGAAGATTCCAGTAAAGAAAGATACAAATTAGACGAGTATTTATTTGTCTTTCTCCCCTGTGGGTGTCCAATATAAAGAATTCTTGGCTAGAGGAATGGTTGACACCAAGTCAGAGTAGGGCAGGGAGAAAATAATGAGCTTATAGCTAATAAACTGAATTTGAAGTATCTTGAGATCCATGATGACAGGTAAGCCACTTTTTATCAATCAATGATATGCATCATTGATCAAATAATGATATGCATACTGGATGAAATCTAGTGACAGACTCTAGAATGAAAGATGGAAAATCCTGGAAATTTAGACTTGGTGTTTGAGGCACTCTCAAGTTCGAGACCATTATTAGATCATATGTTACTATGTGTGTACTTTAGAAATGCAAAAACATGCATGTCTTGGAGTATGTAGATAGTATAAGTATTTGTGCACTGTGTTTCCACATGCAAGATGTCACAATCAAATGTCTGTGTGCCTATACACAGAAATGAGTGCATATTTTTGAGCTGGACTAGCTATTGCTACCTTATTCATGTTTTTCAATGTTTTAAATGCCTGTAATGACAACACTGGAGAAGCTCAGACAAGAGAAATGTGGTGTGTTTTAGGTCAGTCTGGACTACACTATGAGACTGCCTCAATAATTAATAAGTTAATTAAACTAAATCATAAGTGTAAAATCTCATAGCTTTCTTGCTACACTGTAATTTTACGTGCCCTGCCACCTGCATGGAAAGAAATCAGTCATTCTGTAACAGATATTTGAGTAGATACTTTAAAGGGAGTACTATCTCTTGCCTTTAGCTCCCATTAGTGCACAATTCTGTGTATAATTATTACCTTTTCAAAATATTAGTCTATTGACAATGAAATCTCCAAGTCATTCTTATTAAAAGTATTTGGAAGAAGTTTACCATATTTTTTATTGAAAATCACTGGTGATTATATTTTAAGATGTCAAATTTGTGTCTGATGCAGTTAATTATTACTAAATCAGAAACTATAAATTGACACATGCAACAATGATGCAAAATGTAAGGAATCATATATAATGATTATTTTTTTTTTATTACCAAACTTGAGCGTGTTTTGTTTTGTTTTTTGTTTTGTTGTTTTTCTGGTAGTACAAAAATAAACCAGTAAATTTGCAATGAACTATTTTGTAAAAGGCCCACAAGCCACTTCCTCTCTAATGTTGCTTTTCTTACAAATCAAGGTAAAGCCACAAGACACATGTACACCCTCTTTGTTTCACTGTTTTAATTGCTTAAGTCACTCTGTTTAGCAGGATAAAGCAAAGAAACTTTTTATTTATTCCCATCAAAACCTAGTTTCCATATATTAAAGGTCTCATTTAAATTAAAGTGAATAATGTGCAACTTGTTCTTAAAGCAATGATAATTCTAACCAAATTCTTGGGAAACCATATTTAAATTAAGCAATAAAGCTGTTTAGTGGTAAAATTTCTATATTTCACTGAATTTAAAGATGTAGTCTTTGCCTTGCTAAATGTACATTTCAGAATCTATCAGATTATTATATGACCATCAGTTTCTTTTCCTGTATGTTGATACAGCAAACATTTCCAACCTACCACCTATGGACTCCATATGTCCAGTATGACTATGAGTACTACCCAACACATTTGTAGATGAGGTCATGCATCAGCATGAAAAGAGATGGCACCACTGAAAGTGGTTTTCCCTTGTAGGAAGCAAAGGTTCCAAATGTCATTTCTACACAGTACTTGTTTGGGGATGCATTTTTCTGATTGTAATGATCAATGCCCCATACAGTAAGTGTAATAAGTGCATTAATCCATTCAGTTGAATCAAGTTCAAACTGAATAGTAAAATAAAATATTAAATGTAATTCACTATAGCTTTTTTTTGGGGGGGGGGTTGTTTGCAAGGTGTTATATCCAGGTCTCTTTATGTGCCAGAAAATAACACTGGGGTCTTGCCTGTTGGAAAAATACAACCACACAACTAATGATCTTTGTATTGAGAGCTTTTCAAAGTGTTGACCATTGACAGTCATTTACTTATTAATAAAATATCTATTTGAGTAGGCCAAGAACCTGCATTTCTGACAAATTGGTGTACTTTGTGAAAATCATTCAATAGAAACCTTGCTTAAGGTACCTTAGGAAATTATATGTATAAATATAAGATATGTATAAACAAAAAAGGCATGTATTTTTTTAACATGCTTCTCTGAAATAGAAATAAGAAGCAAGCTGAAAAAATACTGGAGTATTTTCCTGACTCTTCTCATGATTGTAATGTTTAGTATCAAGTTCAACATATCTAATGTAATATTCTGAATATTTCATTTTATCAACTAAAATATTTGCTAACTATTAAAGGGATAGCCACATCTGCAACTGTTAGCTTCCTGTCCAGTCCAGCTGGAGAGTCGCCCTGTCATTAAATATGGTTCTCTGTTTCTGAAATTGCTGGGTCAGGTTAATTTAGGATGTTTTTATTTACTTCCGATGCTGTTGATGATAGTCACATACTAATCTGGTGCCCACACTTTCATTTTCATTATGAAACAAATTTTTCCTCCTAGGTATTCGGAGTAGATGACAATCAGGATTATAATAGGCCTGTTATCAATGAAAAGCATAAAGGTCTGATAAAAGATTGGGCTCTCAACTCTGCTACAGTAGTAATGGAAGAAAGACAGCCATTCAGCACACCTGGGTTTCATAACTCAGAGGTATGCAGTTCTTTTTATATGCATCAAATGTAAGTTTTCATCATTTGGAAGTTATTTTAAGTATTGATATATATATATTTAAGAAACTAAGTTTTGGCTACTTTCTGTTTTGAATGAAAACCTAAAGCAGTTTTGGTTTAATTCTTAATTTTCATTGTTCTTTTAAAGTTAGTGAGGAAAATAATTACACTTCAGCAAATAAGTAATAAAATACATGTTCCTTTTTGTAAGTAGCACAATGAAACAAAACAAGAAATATACACAGCTTATACTTTCTAGGAGGCATGTGCTTGGAATTAGAAGACTGAGTCAGCAGCAAATATGTGAACAGTGCAACTTAAACACACACTGTTGTAAGTGTCAGTGTGGTAGAAGCCAGGATGTAATGAGGATAAGAACTGAGATAGCTTCATTGGCATAGCTGTGACATCAAAATTCCACTCCATCTTATGTATCAAAAGAAAATATAAAATATTTGTTTAAGTTGGAATTGTATCTGTACAGATAACAGGCAGCAACTTTCAGTAGAAGGAAGCCCTCAAACGGTTTTACAGATAAGGAAAATGCAATGCATAGAAATTAGTCTGGCTGGGCTCTTAAGTCTTGTCATTTGTGGGGCTGGAATTTGAATATTTTGACTTTTTTTTTTTTAATTTGGAGAGAGAAAGAGAGTGTATGTATATGTGTGTGTTGCACATGCATATGGAAGTCAGAAAAGAACACAAATGTCTGCCTCTGTTAATTAACTCTTTGCCTTATTCCTCTAGGACAGGGACTTTTACAGGCACACACAGCCATGCCCAGCTTTTTATGTGGTTGCTGGGAATTTGAACTCCAGTTGTCAGGCTTGTATAGCAAATGCTCATAATCTCTAAGCTATCTCCCCAACCTGGCCTTGCTTTCTTAATTAGTTGCCTTGCTCATTAGGCTATATTTCTCTAAGGAAAAGAGTTAGTTATAATAAGTGAATGGTGGATAAATATAAAATATATGTAAAAATCCTTTATGTAACATTGCTATTTACTTTATATTTCTACAAATATAAATGTCATTGAGTAGTGTTAAACTATTCCTCTGGCTTGCCATTTTCTAATAATTGTCAAAGTAATTACAGCTTTAGACAATTTTCTAGTTTCTGTTTAATTTACTCCATGAAAACAGGTAATATTAATAGTAGTGTCAGACAATGTGTTGATATTTTGATAAATCCAGGGAAAGGTTTTTGTGAATTACTTTCGATTCCCTCTCATCCTTAGTCCATGCCAAGTAAAATTCATATAGCTCCAATAAGTTACTGCCATTAAGGCTACGAAGAACAAAGAACAACATTCATAAGTGTGTAAAAGTAAAATTGCCCTGTTGTAGATTTTCTAAGCATAGTGCAGAATGATCTGCACTGCCTTGAGTGCTCAGAGTTGTTAGGCAGGTACTGCAAGACCTTGGAAGGGAGCTCGAGAAGTCAGATAGCTTTGGTGTCCTTTTTTCTAAATATATCAATCTCTATGCTTTACTATTTTAATCTGTTTTTGAAACCACAAAGTGCATTATCTACATGAAATCATTACTTCATCAGTATCTAACCTTAGCCTGTTCAAAATTAACACAGTAACTAGGATTTGGTTTTTTGTTTGTTTGTTTGTTGTTGTTGTTGTTGTTGTTGTTGTTTTTAAATAAGGCATGTTTTAAATAATTCAAAATGAACTTTCTGTTGTAGTTTTTCATTTCCTACTTGGCATTTCAGTTTTGGTGTGAATGCCTAAGTTCAGTTTTGGGTGAGAGGTGTCTTTTTATTGTTTGTACTCCTAGAGATTGATCCCGACCTTGTGAGTGCTGGGCAGGTGCTCTATCACAGAACTGCATACTCCCACACCACCACCACTTCTTTTACTTCACTTGATTTCCCAGGCTGCTCTTACCTCTGATGATGGCTTGAGAGATACAATTTTTATATTACCCTGGCTTAAGGAATGCTAGAGTGTGTTCATGAGTTAAATGACCTATATACTTCACTAGAAGGGTTCAGAAAATATTTATCTTAAAGGCAAATCTAAACATAAATGGGTCTGGGTTCAGACTGGATATAGAAAAATTCATTGAGTGAGTTATTTTCAACTTAAATATAAAAATCTCAGACTTTGGGTTCTTGAAATCTGCTAAGACATTACATAGCATATTTGATTGTTCCTGAGACCAGGTTACTTTAATGTCTCTTTAGACTTTCTGTTCTTTTTAATGGAGTCAAAGTGACTCCACTGGGCTAGCTGCAGAGTTGTGACATATAGTAAACTGGAAGCTTCTGGGGTTGACCTGGTGCTATTGTTGTATGAGCAGCACAGGAAATGATACACTAAGTTCAGTGGTGGTAAAATCTGCTTGAAAGGGGCAGCTAGAAAATCTTCCTCTTAGACATGAAGAAATTCAATGAAGCATAACAAGCTGGGCTTCAGACATGGCTCCTGTGTCACATGATGTGACTGAATGAAGTTCTTTCATGAGAGCCAGCATTGGCAGGACTGCTGCATTGCCTCATCCTCTTTTCCTCCTTTAGGAAGGGATATCTTCATCTGGAAGCAAACGTTGGGTCTCACAGTGGGCTAGTTTGGCTGCTAATCATACAAGGCATGATTCAGAAGAAAGGTTAATGGAATTGTCTGCAACTGTAGAAAATGGTAATTTATTTTTTCTCATCCTCCTCCAGTTTTTACCTTTTCTGTCTTTTTTTTTTTTTTATAATAGATCATGTGTGTTTTTAAAAAAGAAACAAGCTAAACTTAATATAGTAAGGAGTAAATTAAGCTTAAATGAACATATTCACATATTCTTATGTTTGAACCGTATGTTGAAGTCAAGTAAAATGCTGTTTTAATTAGCATTTTGTGTTTTAGGGAATTATAAGCAGTAGAAAGTATCTAAATAATAAAGCCTTTTGTATGTGTGTGTGTGTGGTTTTTTTTTTTTTGTTGTTTGTTTTTTTTTTTTTTTTTTTTTTTTTGCAATGTTGGAAGTAAACTGAGGAGCTCATTGTATATGTTATGTTATACCAACTACCCCAAGTCTTTTTCCATTAAAAACTTTAGTATGCTTCATAAGTTGAACCTTCCAAAGACAACGGGAACAATCAAAAATGAAAAGTAGTTTTCAGACATTCTGAATTTTTATTTGTAAATTTTTGCAATTCAAGTATAACTTTAAAGCTTCATGGTTTTGTTTTTCAGTTAAAAAAAAGGTAACTTCTTGATCTGTCAATCTATTAGAAAATTTGCAGCTATCACTATAGTGTAATCATAAACTAAATAAGGTGATGATTTGTAGATGAGCAATATGTATGAATGTAAATTATGACTTAAGTGATCCAAAAACTGATTTAATTTTTCATTATGTTCGTAAGTAATAATGTCACCTTGTACCCATAAATATATAGAATTAAAAATTGTGTATTTACACATTTTATACTTTACACAAGAATAGATCCCCTCAAATTTTTTTTTTTTTTTTTTTTTTTTTTAGTATGACCCAATTTGTTGTCTTTGCCTTGTCTCTTCAAAGTATTTACTTTTGTGTTGGGATCTGCTAAGTTGAAAAAAGGAAAGTAATCATTTACTTTTATAAGCTGCCTTAATATACCAGAAAATTACATTTTAAAAGTCCCTCGGTATATAAAATTATGACATATCCTGCCACTTTTTTATTATTTACACATTTTTCTATTGATAAAGATTTCTTTTAATGCCTTGCTAAGGGATAAGGTGCTCCCCCAACCCCCTTTTAGGAAGTGCAAATTTCCCACAGTGATGCCATTCATTGTATACTGGGGTTATTTTTAAGCTTTTATCTCAAAATCTAGTATAATTTGACATTTATTTGTGTCCTTTTGCTCTAATGAATTCCTGCTTTGGTGTTTTTATTTTATAGAGACGGATACTGGTGAAGTTGGTGTTTCACTGAGAACTACTAGCTCTGCAGCTTCCTTGGCAAGTCAGGGAGAGAGGAAGAGGCGAACTCTTCCCCAGCTCCCAAATGAAGAAAAGCCTCTTGAGAGTTCCAGAGCAAAAGTAGTACCCCAGAGGTCAGAGATAGGAGAGAAGCAAGACACGGAACTGCAGGAAAAGGAAGCAGCTGCCCATGTCTTCCAGAACGACAAGCGTGTTGCAGACAGAAGTCAGGTGAATAGGGCAGTCAATGGTGAGATTCCTAAAACTGGTGGAGACAGTAGAGCCCTCCCTCTCTCAGGTAGCTCTTCTAGTAAAGAGAGGAATGAAACTGATAAAGAAACTCCTTTGGTAAAACAAACATTAGCTAAAATCCAACAGGAACAGAAGGAGCAGGCCCAGTGGACTCCTACTAAGTTGTCTTCAAAAAGTGCTTCAGACCACATAGATAAATATAGGGAGGAGTCTTCTAAGCAAGAGTTGCAACTTGTAGAAAAAATGTCAGGACATTCTACAAGCAAAGGAGAAAGAATAACACAAAATGAAAGCAAGAGAAAAAAGGCTGAGGAAATTCCAAAAAGTCAGACTTCAAAAGGAGACAAGAAAGAGTCCTCCAAGTCTTTAGTGCGGCAAGGGAGTTTCACCATAGAAAAGCCCAGTTCAAACATACCCATAGAACTTATTCCTCATATCAATAAGCAGAATTCATCTGCTCCCACTTCCTTAGCATTGGCATCTGCAAGTAGACTTCGAGAAAGGAGTGACTCTTTGGATACTGATTCTAGCATGGACACAACCTTGATTCTAAAAGACACAGAAGCAGTGATGGCATTTCTTGAAGCTAAACTGCGTGAAGATAATAATAAAACTGATGAAGGCCCAGATACTCCCAGTTACAATAGAGACAATTCTATTTCACCGGAATCTGATGTAGACACAGCCAGTACAATTAGTCTGGTTACTGGAGAGACGGAAAGAAAGTCCACCCAAAAGCGGAAGAGTTTCACTAGTCTCTATAAAGACAGGTGTTCCACGAGTTCCCCTTCCAAAGATGCTACAAAGTCAGGCACTAGGGAGAAAATTGAAAAGAAAGCAAAAAGCCGCTCTACAGATATAGGTACAAGAGCAGATGGTCGAAAATTTGTACAGTCCAGTGGAAGAATCCGGCAGCCTTCTGTAGACTTAACAGATGATGATCAGACCTCTAGTGTACCTCATTCTGCTATTTCTGACATTATGTCATCTGACCAGGAAACATACTCCTGTAAATCCCATGGAAGGACTCCACTTACCTCAGCTGATGAGCACAACATGCATTCCAAACTGGAAGGAGGCAAAGGAACAAAGTCTAAGACTTCTCCCATTGCCTCTGGTTCATCAAGTAAATCAACCACTCTCCCGAGGCCACGGCCCACCAGGACTTCTCTCCTGCGTCGAGCCCGGCTGGGTGAAGCTTCTGACAGTGAACTTGCTGATGCTGACAAAGCATCTGTTGCCTCCGAAGTGTCCACCACAAGTTCCACATCAAAACCACCCACAGGCAGGCGAACAATCTCTCGGATTGATTTATTGGCTCAGCCTCGAAGAACAAGACTTGGCTCATTATCTGCCCGTAGTGACTCTGAAGCAACAATATCAAGAAGTAGTGCCTCTTCACGCACTGCAGAAGCCATCATTAGGAGTGGAGCCAGATTAGTGCCATCCGATAAGTTTTCTCCTAGAACTAGAGCTAACAGTATCTCGCGGCTATCAGACTCCAAGGTCAAAAGCGTGACCTCCACTCATGGCTCACCTTCAGGTAACTGGATCCAGATTTCTAATAACATTAGCATGTTCTCTGTGAGGGCTCTTTACTTAAAAATTAAATTTCTAGCTGTCTTAGCAAAGTAATTCAAAAATAAGGTTAAAATTAGAGGGCCAATGTCCCCTTCCTCATTAAAATGTAAAATTCAGAAGTCAGTGTACTTCTGTTTTAGACAAAGTAGTGATTTCAAAATAAGAAATTAACTGAACAGATTTAGGAGTTTTAATTTTTTATTTGATAATAATTGGATTTTTGTCAGAATTATATTAGGAATTACAGTCTATTTTAAAAATAATGTTCTGCTTCTAAAATCAGGTATTTGAAATTTCTTATGAACTCATAGAGAATATACCGTTTTTTCAGTCTTTGGAAATAGCTGATTTAAAAAAAAATGTTTCACATACTTACACATTTGTGGTTGGAGCTCTTGAAAATTAACTCATTTCAGTTGAAGAAACGATTCATGAGGCAGTTACTAAGCATATGTGAATTGATTGTAAAGTTAATTAATTGGGAGCATTATTCACAAAGTCCTGCTGTAGCATTTAACTGTAGTAATTGCCTAACTGAATGTAATTGCAATCACTACTTATAGTCTCAAAGTATTGAAGTGCTATTGGCTAATTTGTATTTAAGCTGAAACCACTGAAAGAGAGTATGTGACCACAGCAGCGAGGCAGCTAGCTGTTTATATGTATCCTCATATAATAAGCATGTTCTTATTACCTCACAATCAGCTGCATATGTGGGTGTGGCTGAAAAGGCCAGGAAGGGTATACCAGCTGTTTGAAGACTTGAAAGTTTATGATTCTTTCCCAGCAAGCTAAGTGAGCCTGTCTTGAGTTAAAGTGGAGGAACATTGGTATATAATCTTCTGTTTATTTTTGCTTGATTTATAATATATCCTCCATGACTCAAAACCAGTAGTACTTTGTAAATGATGTTTTAGTTTCTCCATTTTCCATTCCTCCTTTTCACTGTTGCTTTCATCCATCCACTCTCTTTTCTTTCCATATCCATTGGTCACTGGCTCTGGTAATGACGGTCATAGACTGTGGTAGGACTGGATGTAGACTAAAGCTAGAGAATATATAGTCGTGCTTCCTGAAGGATAAGTGGCATTTTCTTTGTTATTTTGGTCTGTTTCCACATTAATGAATTGATTGCTAGGTATTGTTACTCATTTGTTTCTTGTGGCCCTCCCTTCTCAATTCACTCCCTTTGTGCTGCACTCTGGTGTGTACCCTGATTTCCTCTGAAACGTTGCTGCTTTTACTGCCTCACCTCATTTACGAACATTAACATATTTACTTGAGCAGTGATGTAAGGTGTTAACAAGGAGCATGCAGTAGCTTCTCTGCTGAGTGACTAGCTCTTACCATGTAGCTAAACTAGCTTTATTCCTTATTCTTTAGCATGAGGGGCTTATTTCAGATGTGGTCTAAATAGGGCCACTTGGCAAGTCTGAGAAACAAATATAAGATTTCATATCATATATAGACAGACTAGTTTGGATTTCTTCTTTGAATACAGATCTTGATACTCACTTTTTGTTATTTAAAACAAATCAAAAATCTTGGAATTCCTAGCTGGGTGTTGGTGGCAGCACTTGGCAGGCAGAGGCAGTCAGATCTCTGTGAGTTCCAGGACAGGCTCCAAAGCAATACACAGAAACCCTATCTCAAAAAACAAACAAACAAACAAACAAACAAACAAACAAAAAATCTTGGAATTCCTTAATGAAATTCCCAAGGGCAAATTGTTATTTTCATTCTTTATACTTAGTACTCAGCTATTACATAGAATTTAAGAGCTAACTAGGAAACTTGGACCAGGAGGTGAAATAACCTGCCCTGGTCAGATATCAGCACAGAATGAGAATTCAGGGCCTTTATTACTGGCTATTGCTATTCTACTGTTAAGAAATGGAACTATATGCTAGTTTCCAGAAGACAGCTAATATCTTATTACTAGAAGTATATACAAGGTGAATATGAAATACAGTAGTTTGGGTATTGTTCAATAAATCGTTGAAATCATATTATCCAGTCCATGGCAGTGAAGAATATACTAAATACTTGTTGCATGGAATGATTACTAAAACATTTGTTTGCTTTTAACAATTGAATGCTATAACAATTCTATTTAAGACATTGTACTATCTTGAGTGGGAAAAAAGAAGAAAATAAGGCTTAAAAGAACTTGGAATCATACTGGTCAATGTTCTATTCTCCATGTAAACTTTAAAGACCTTGAAGTTTTCTATCACCTGTGAATCTGTCCATATTAACATATGTAAAAATTATTTTGATTCAGTATTTTGGACTAAGTTGTTAGTAGATTTTTTTTCATTTAATATGGTAAGCATTAATGACTGGAAATGTATAGCAACACTGGTAGCAATTCTTTTATTCATCTCTGGTATTATTTGCTTCCAATGACTTGCCTTTCTCCCATATTCTCCTGATGACAAAAGAAGTAGCCAGGTTTATTTTGGTCAAGATTTTTGTATTTAAAATTAAGGGCCCTGAGTTATCAAAATAAAGCAGTTACCAGCTACAGTGGTTAACACCCATAACCCCAGGATTTCAGTAAAGTCTAAGCCAGCCTCACCTACTTAATGTGTTTCAGATTTGGACCGTCTTAACAGGACCCTGTCTCTAAAAGCTATACACTGCAATGAATAGCAGCACCACCACTACTAATGAGCTATCTGGTGTTCATTACTTTGAGTGCACAGGTTAAAAAGGTTTATTAATATTTTAAAATTTTTCTTGTGCCTTCCTTTTTATTCTAAATCTCAAAATTAAAATAGTGAAATTAAACAGGCATACATGGCTTTTGTTAATTCTTCCCTCAAGTGAAGAACAAAAATACAGAGTATTCTGAGAGATTTTTTTTTTCTCCCCAATCTTATCATTCAATGCTTATATAGTCAGTAAAACTTGTTGTGTGCTTTAATTCCCCTCTAAAATACTCTGATATATAAAGAAAATAAAGTTTTTTCTGAACTTTCATTAATCTGTAATTGTATTTTAAGATTAATATAGCTTTAGTTACATTAAAAAGGAGCATTCACAGCTATGTACTAATAAATCCTTTTTTTGTTCTATACATGGATAATAGTATTTTTGTAGTAAACATACTTCTTAGACCTTTAGCAAGAAAAGAATGTTGTACACTTTATAACTAAACTAGATTTTTGGCAGTATAAAGTTTATCATTTATTGTCAAATTAAAGCTGAACAAATAATTTCATTTCTCAAAGGCATATATAAATTCAGATTGATATGTACTTTCAAGACATATTCTGTTATATTAAAACAAATTTAATAATGTTATAAATCAGTTTCTTGCGACTTACAAGCTTAAACTGATCTTGAAACTTGCTCTCATTTTAATATGTATAATTAGTGCTTCACCAACCAACAATTGGAGATTGTATATTCAATTTAGTGATCTATTAAGTACCTTAGTACCATCAGTCTGTCAAATGAACCTAATTATATAAATTAAATGTATTTCTGTGAACAGAAAATTCAAGAAAATGAAACTTTTCTATTTAATCTGAATATCTAAAAGACAGGAACCTTTTATATTTATTTTCCCTGCCCTTCCAGTTTCTCCTCTTCTTTTTCTCCCATATGGGAATGGGTTTAGAGTTGGTCTTCCACGCTCAGTTAAACTTTTCTAGAAACCTGTTTGTGGACACCCCAGGGCTGTGTCCATGGTGATTCAAAATCCTGTGAAATTAACATCCCCCTTCAGGAAAAAAAGCAAACAATTATCTATATAAACTTTTTATAGTGAGCCATGAATTTTCTTTCTACATATGTTTATTCTCCTGCATCTACCAGTCTAGACCCCAGGAGCTGCAAATAGAGCATTAATGAGGACAGATGAATTGGCTCTGATTTATTACTTATCATTCTATACATTTCTCTGCTTTATGTCTTCTCTGGTGGTAGTGTTAATCTAAGAGCCAGCCCACATCAAGGAAAATAAAATTTTGGGAAGAGGTATCAGGAAAAGTACAAAATTCTAATGGAGGATGAGGAAATCCTGGGCTTCACTTACCTAATATATGCAGTAGGTCAAGTTCAGGATTGAAGAGAAAGAAAAGTCACAAAGTATTAGTGGCAGTTGAGAATTGCAGCAGTTCCTAAATATTTTTGTTTCTTTGAATACCAAAGGCTTCCCATGATTCTAGATTTTATAAATGCAAGTGATATCTATCGAGGAATTCATTCATTATTCAAAACTATTCTTAACACTTGCTAGCTAGATACTTGACCCAAATGCTAGGTATATAGTAATTGTTAAATAAACATTTCCTGCTTCTGTGAAATTTACCATGAATTAAACATTTCTCTGTTCTTCACTTGTTTATACTTTACAAATTCCTTGTGTTAGTAAAATGTCTACATTAATTTGTCTTCTGATTTTCAGTGTGTCAGCAATAACATTTTTAAATGTCTTTACTAACTGTAAATGAGAAAGTAATTGCCCCTTTAATGTTACTACCTGAATGACTTCTTGTACCTTAAATGTCAGTGGTTGTGAGAGTAGCTTTTGTAGTTTTACACTTTGTAGATTTTACACCATTGTCTATTTTGACTTATGTTTTCAGTGTTAAAGCAGCAAAGAGTTGTATTGAAGATGCTTTGTTGTGTTTTTTTTTTTTTTTTTTTTACCATGTAAAAAGATTTTTTCCAACTATAGCGTAACAGGATGTTGAATGACAGAGGTAATGTTTTTTTTTTTTTTCTGCCATAAAGGCATAATTTCTACAACAGGAATTATGCACATTTGTGTGTTGGGAAAAGAGGGTTTCATCGTCTTCGTGTTAAAAGTCCATGTGGCATGAGGGAACTTTTCCCTTTTTATTTTCGTCGTGTTAGTGTTGTTGCTGTCATTTAAAAAGCATCCATATCTCTACTCAAGAAATATTTGCAACTGAAAAACACCCATGTTAAGCGTTTATATCTAGAGTGTGCTTAGTTGTTTATCATTAGTGAACTTTTTCATCTGAATGTTTATTCACTACACTATAAAAAAACTGGTCTTTCAAGTGTTTTTTAATTATCCATTGTTTTTAATTTACCAAAATATAAACATATCTTGAGGAGTAGTAGAGTACAGTTTTTTGTGAGGTGTGTATATGTCAGTTACTGAAACTTGTGCTGTGTGTGATGATCTCTCATGGTGATTTTGAAATCATGATTTTTATTTTATCTTTTTAAAATGATAACATAATAATTCTCTTTTTAATAATTAAACTAATTTAGTAAATTCAAGATGGAGGCGCTTTCCTACTGATTATGCTTCCACCTCAGAAGATGAATTTGGATCAAACCGTAATTCCCCTAAACATACTCGTCTACGTACTTCTCCAGCCCTGAAAACCACTCGCATGCAGAGCACTGGATCAGCAATGCCTGCTAGTTCTTCATTCAAGCACCGAATTAAAGAACAGGAAGACTATATCCGAGATTGGACTGCCCATCGGGAAGAGATAGCCAGGTTGGTTCTCAATCTCTTATCAGCGTTGTAGGTTGTTGGGGGCTGGAGAGAGCTGACTAAGGCTAAGGGCTAAGGAGATGACCTGGGTTTGGTTCCCAGCACACATCTCAGCTCATGACTGTCTACCACAACCACAGGCTCCTGCTTTATGCAGTGAACAAACATATACTCAGAAACACACACATACACATATAAAAGGAATTGAGAAAAATATAAACATTGCAGGTTAATAAGTTCCCTTCTTTGTACAAATTGTCTAAGAAATGAAATCCCCCCAGTTTTAATTAAATGTTAATTTAATTATAAATAACAGTAATACATCAATACACTATTAATATATTAATTGATGATTAATTATTAATCCTCCTTCCCATTTTCTAAGATTTTTAATAGATATGCTGGTAAGGGTAACTTTTGAAAGATGGTATAATTCCACATACTTAACATTAGCTTGGGCAATGTACAGATTACTTTTAATCTAATCTAAATGAACAGTCTGTTTCAGATGGGCTACTAATGTTACTGGGCAATTTTGAGTAGGCTTTTTTTTTTTTTTTTAAACCTTTTTTTGTTGTTTGGTTTTTGAGACAGTTTTGCCATAAAATCTAAGCTGAATTGGCCATGAATTTGGGATCTTCCTTGTAGGCCTCAAATGTTGGGGTTATAGTATGTTTTCTCTACCTTGCCTGGTTTTGCTTACATTTTTATAAGTTCATTAAATGCAGTTAGTTTAGCCTTTTAGTCAAAACATGACTGTTTTGAATAGTAAATGACTTTTTACAATATCATTTAAATATGTTCAGAAAGTAAAACTCACATTGCACATATAATTAGTAACACCGCAGTTAAACATTTTAGACTCAACAGAGGCCATAGTAGCTAAAATCTTAAGGATTTTGTTTTTTTAATCTAAGACTTGTAAATTTTATTGCAGTAATCTTGTGCTGCCCAAAAATTTTTACTATGTCATGTGCTAATTATTTTTGCCTTTCCATTAGGACACATACTGTCCATTAGGACAGTAAAATTTATACTTAGCAACCTTATCAATGTGTGTATGGTAGTTCAGATTGCTTTCAGAGTAGCAGCAAATTTTACCATACTTCGATGTTTTTTCTTTGTTGACTTTTGTGGTCAGGTTTTTAATGAGACTATGTACTAAAATTTTTAGAGTAGTTGTTTAATTAGAGAAAAGGTATCTGTGAATTGTGGGCCCACATATGTGTATAGTCAGGAATCCTGACTTGCTCTCTCTGTTCTGATCACAGCTGCCAGCAAGTCTAGCTGTGGGCTTGTCATCGTCTCCTCTGGCTACACAAGGTCCAGTGGTACCAAAAGCAACTAGAACATATCTGTCTCCTCAGAAGGCTTTCCCTCATACTCTCTTTGTCATAAGTTAGAGAAACCAAACTCCTTTTACTTTTGGGGGTCAAACCTTTCATTAATCCAAATAGAGGCGAGTGAACTTAAAAGAAGGAATACGGCAGCTCCAGACATTGTTCTCCCTTGGTTTTATTTATTGTAAGTGTTGGGATTGCTGTTGTCTCTGTTAGAGGATTCTGAGCCTAAGCTGTTGAGGGTAACAGTTTTCATCCCTGGTTACCTCTGTTTTTCAGTAGAACTGTGTTAATAGTTTCTAGCCTCTGAGATTTTCATTTTTAAAAGAACTTTTTTTCCCCGTGGGAAAAAAAAAATAGAAAAGGGAGGATAATCAAAACTATTGGGGGAAAGGATGGAAATTGATGTTTAGTGCTCTAATGGAGTAATGATAAATTAGAATAATATAAGAAAAATTATCTTCAAAGGCTTTAAATCAAGCTAAATAAAAGGAATAATTTTTTTAATGAAATGTTACTGTCACTTAAACACAACTCACTAAGCTTTGAAGAATACTTGAGATTCTTGTAATAGAGAAATGTAATTTTAAACTTTATTACAAAAATTGTTTGTGCTTGAGTAGATTTATCTCTCTTCTTTTAAATGTAAACATGTTTGATTTGTCATTCTTTACCTGTATTTAAATAAAAACAAGGTTAATCCAGCATAGAAAACATATAAGCAACATACAGCATAGTTGGTCTTTCAGTTTGTAAAGGAAGATTTTCTTTCAGATATTCCTGATCCATGTGCCTAAGTACAACATAAGAGAAGTTTCCTTCCAGCAGGAATTTGATAGGTTTAATGGTTTTATAAATACTAAGGTAGAGGAAGCTACATTAAATAAATACTAAGCTAGAGTTTACCTTTGCAAATGACTGAACACTTTTAACAGAAAAAGATATACTGGAAGAATATATAATTCACATTTGAATCACAAGAAATTTAGCAGTATTATTGTGTTTTAAATTCATTATTACATATGTATTATATCATTTAATTATACTTTGAAGTCTAATTAAGTGCATTCAGAGACAACAACTGGTTCATTATAGATACTACATTAAAACATTTAAAACTAAAGCCAATATAGTATTTTATTTTAGCGCTATGATTTACAATATTATGTTCTTTTTTATATATACCTCTAGAATGCTATTTTGCATCATATTTATATATACTTGAATTCTTTATATGTGTTCTATATATTAATTCAAGATTTTTAAGTGTTCCCATGAGGATAACATAGTCATATTTTAGTGCTGAAACATAGGAGGCCAGTTGGAGTTGGAATCTGTTGTAGAGGCCATTCACAAACAAAACAATTAAAAGCTATGGTACTAAATGGTATCACAAGAGATGGTGAACAGACTGAACCCTGCTGAACCCCAAACTATAGAGCTGAAGTGTATGTAACCAAATGTTCTAGAAATGGACTATAAAATCAGTCTTAGGTTCATATCCTTTTCTACCATAAACTGTAAATCTGTGGTTGGTATGTAATACCAGTACTAGCATTAGTGTTTGACATTAATAATAAGTTAGTAATACATGTTACATTTTAAAAACAGAGGAAATAGTGATAGTTGATTTTCAAACTTTATGCGAATCCATTTGTAGTTTAAGGCCCACATTGTATTTAACAGTTTACAAAATATTTTTTTGCTAGACTATTATAGAATCACGACCAAGGAAGGTTCATATCTTCTGTTCAAACTCAAATAATTTTATAATTTTATATTGTTCTTATAGTAAAAGTACTTTATAACTTTTCTGTAGTTTCTTAGTACTAAAAAAGTTTCTTAAAGTACTTTCTTAAACTTTAGTATACTTGTAAGTCTATAATAATATATTTATAGGATTCACTAAAGAAAACAAACCTCTAATGTATTAAATAAAGTGTCGTCACTTAGCAGCGTATGCATGAAAATCATAAACTTGCAGACCCAAGGTACATTTCGTTCTCTTCACTTTTGAAATGTAATTCCTTCTACAAAGTAACATAAAATGTGATGGCAGTTTTTAATTGCTTGGTATAAAAGAACTAGCAGAGTTCTTGATCTTTACACTTGGTTTTTATTTTTGATCTTTGGAATGTTTTCCTCTTAAAGTTTTGTGTTAAAGAAAATGGAATAGAATATGGATTGTGTATTAGATTTTAAATTGGCAAGTTTTAATTTTTGATATTTGCTAAGGAAACTATATAATATAGCCCCAATTAAAATAGTTTGCTATTTGTGGATTTCTTGTAACAGATTGGAAGGGGATAGGAATGAGAAGAGGAGCACAGTTTAAAAGCAGAACATTGCACTACATGTAAAGAAACATAGTTTGATAGATACATCACAAGTTAAGTTGGAACTCTATAGTTTGGTGACTGCATGACTTAGACCCATTATCTAGATTGAACAGGTGCTTCATTTCTGTTTGGAATATTTCCATAACTCTTTTTTAGTATTTTCCTCACAAATTTTCTTGTAGTAACTCATGTAGTGAATGCTGAGGGCTTGCTTGTGTCTGTATTTGAGACAAGGTCTCATGCAGTCCAGGCTGGCCTCAAGCTTAAGCTGAGGATGACCTTGAATTCCTGATTTTCTTGCTTTTACTTCTCAAGTGTTTATATTAGATATGTGCCACCACACCAGACTAGCTGCTTAAATTTTTACTAATAGGTTGTTATCTGAATCAACTTTAAGATGGGAATTACCTTTCTAAGATAGAGCAGTCATGTACAGAAGATGCCAGCAAATAAAAGAAATACCTTTTGAACATTATATGGTGTACATACATGAGAATCTGTTATTTTTACAGTTTTTTCTTCTAATAAATGAGGATAACTTATTTCCTTTTTATTCTTATAACTTTCAATGAATAACATGTTTTATTATATAAGTATCTGCAAAGAAAATGTAGATTTGTTTAATAAGTAAACTGATGCTTGTGTTCTTAAAAATCACTTCAAACCTTTTTATTCTGTTTCTCAACCTAGTTCTTTTATTTCAGGAAAGAATTTATAGCCCAGATTAGGCATCTTATTCAAAGTACTTGAAACTGTTTGTGGTTTGGGTTTTTTTTTAGAATGTTTTTGTATACGTGGTGAGGTATCTTGGGAAGGGAACACAATTCTAGACACAAAATTTATTTCATGTGTACTCTATGTATATAGCCTGAAAATAGTATTATGTGGTGTTTTTATTATGCCTGAGTTTGACTGAAACTTATGAATAGTATCAGGTACAGAATTTTCCATTTGTGCTGTTAGCACTTTAGATCCAGTAATTTCAGTTTAGGGTTGTTAAATCTATCTTACTTAACCATATCCCAGCTTGTCCTCAAGCACATCAGCAGTTAAGTTTGAAAAATTGCATGGTAGTGTGGTATAATGCAAAGGTCTAGTGATATTCTTACTCCCTGTGTCCTTAGCCTACAAAGTTCACATTGACTTCTAAGCTTCATTTTTATCATTGGTAAAATAAGATGATAAATACTTCACTTAGAAGGTACTTGTGAGGAGTAGATGAGATGGTAAATGTGAAAATTCCTTACAATGGTGCTCATTATTTATTCTAAGAACAACATGGGACCCTGTAACTTCAGCAGTGCTATTCCCTCAGGCCGGAGTGGTACCTAGCAAATAATACTTGCTGTCTTCCCCTGCCTTTTTGCACTGGCATAAAAGAGAAAATCTGCAGTTTCTTACAAGGAAATACACACACACAATATATCACCTTACATATCTGTCAACTCATAAATTACAACACAGCTTTTTTTTTAAAATTGGCCAAATTTTTACACAATTGCTGTACTACTTGAATATTGTTTGAACCCACATTTGGGGACTGGAGAGATGACTCAGAGGTTAAAAATATTTGTTACTCTTACAGAAGACCCAAATTTGGTTCCTTGCACCTACATGGTGGCTCACAACCTTCATTAACACCTTCTTCTGACTTCTGGGCACCACGCTGTATATGGTTTGTGCACATATGTGTGCATGTACATATATATGTGTGTGTGTGTGTGTGCGCGCACACACGCGGGCACATTTACTGGGTACACATAGTAATACAAACATTCATACTTATAAATCTAAAAGAAATTTTTAAGAAGATATTTAAGTCCATATTTTATATAACTTTTAAAATGTTTCTTTGTACTTTGAAAGTTATTTGTGTTGTTCTTTAGTTACAGTTATAAGAATAAAAGCTGGAGAAGGGGTGGGGATAAGTGATGTTCCCGAGTGAGAGTCCCAAGTGAATGGGGTCCCAAAGTAATGGACAATATGGGAGAGCATAGTAGGTGAGAGTGACCCAGGCGGGAGGAAATAACACGTCCCGCAGATAGAGCTTAAATGAGGGAGTTCATTTAGAAAAGGGGAGTGAGGGAGAAGGGAACAGAGGGGGAGAGAAGAAGACGGCAGGGGTAGCTGGTGGCCAACCGAAAGCAGGAGAGAGAAAGAGCAAAAGAGAAGGCAAAAGAGAGGGTAAGTGGGCAAGGGTCTGACTTTTAAAGGGGTCCATTACACCCTGCCTGCAGACTAGTTAGTACTCATGGAACCCTGGGCTGACCAGAGTACTGAGTGCATTCTGCCAGCTGACAGGGGCAGGCCAGCATAATGCCTGAATCCTTAAAAATTGAACTTTCACATGTGTTTTTAAGTTTATTCTATCATTCTAGAACCTTCTCTATGGAAGAAACCATATTGAGTTTTATGTCCAACAAATATACAATGTGGAAAAATTCTAAGAATTGAAATCTTTTTAAAGATATATGGGAATATCAGTAACAGAATTCTTTTATTTCTCTTTATTAAAAGAATTTCTTTAAATGCTAAGAGGAGCCTGTTTTCACTTTTGTCACTACTAACCAGAATTGAGCTGCAGGTGTGACTGGTAGAGTGCTTGCCTGGTATGCTGTTGAGCCAGATGCTGTGGTGCACATGTCATCCCAGGATACAGGAGGCAGAGGCAGGATGATTGCTGAAAGTTTCAGTCTTCAGGCTAGCAAGTGTGTTTCAAACACCAGGCAAACAAACAGAAAAAAACTACAGTTCCTTAATGAACCCATGTGAGCGAACACAGAAGGCTTCATAGACTTGAGTGATAAACTAGGACCTAGTCCTTTTAAGTTGTGCAGGCATAAGCAGGTCACTAAGCTTTTCTAATAGTTTGTTTATTAACAAGTTGAGCTAAGTCCTACTTCAGAAGAACATTATGGTCCTCAGATGGCATGATAGAGAGTAGAAAATGTTGCCATGGTGTAAAACAGTGCTTCAGAGTTCTTGACTTCTCATTACCGTAGTCCTCTTCAGTGAAGCTTGGGCAGCTCTCTTAGCATTTCCAATTGCATGATTTCAATTGCATAAATACATAGAATTACAAATAATTTCAGTAGTGCTAGAATACATTTATGAAAATATTTAACAATACAGTAGTTAATGGTTCCTTATTAATGTCATTAGTTTGGGTTTTTAATGGCTATATAAGTTTGTAAAAGTAATCACTATAAATAATGTTTTGAGATGCCTATAAATAACTATAGTGTGATTTCTGTTGGTGACAAAAGTCCTTAGCCTAGTCTGTTGTTGCTCCTGCTGGAGTTCAATCTCGCCTCAGCTAATGGCCTGTTGGGCAAAGAATTGCCCCCACCTTGACCACTGATTTGGACATGCAGTCCTATGTGCTTGCAGGAGACAAATATAGAAGACTGCTTGACCTTGCCAAGTCAGGGTAAGACAGCCATTCTACCTCCCTGCTGTTGTTGTGGTCTGTCAAGTCCTCTTGGCCTTAGCCAAATCTGGGTGTACCAACGTCGCTGTGAGACCTAGGGTGACTGTTCAGGTGGCTTGCTGTTTCTGTCCTTGCTGCACCTTTTGGAAGTTGTCCATCTGCATTTCCTGTCTACTCTAGTATTGTTATTTTCCTTCTCAGGTCTTGATGAGGTTGAAGATTAAACTATCACAACTATTATTCTCTCTTCCTAGTTAGATATATTAGGTACTAGACTTACGTTTTCCAGCTTAGGACAACTCTATTGTAAACTCCAATATGCCCTCACCCTAGGACTAGATATATAGGTCATTTTGTTCTCGATTTTCCTTTTCTTAGAGCACACTTGTTATTCACTGTTTTGTATATAGTTTTGTATTAAGCCTAAATCTTTTCTTTAGACTAAAAGGGGAATTGTAGTGAGATAGTCCTTCTGTGGCACTGACCACGCCCATTGGGGGTGGAGCCATGGGCCGAGTGACCTGTGGAAGGAGGTCGGAGGTGAGCCAGGAAAGGCTCTCTTTCTGGCGTGACTCGGACAGGAGAGGATCGGGTTGAATTTCCTGGTGTTCATCTGTCTAGGTTATAAGTTATTTCTCCCTGAATAAACATCTATTCGGCCTATTTGTTTATCCTGATCCTTATTTAACCGCGTTACTACACTGTAGTCTGTTGCTTGTATTTATAATTAAATGATCAGCATCAGTTAGGTTAGTGAAAATAATATCCTTGCTTCTTGTTACCCATGTTCAGATACTTCCTGGATTCTGCCATTTCTAAATATAAGATCTCTATGACATATTAATACCAACATTAACATTAACTGTATTTTAGAGTATTCAAAATGTATTTCTCAAGATACATTATTTAGACGTTAACTCGTTAATGTTAGTATTTGAAATTAAAAGTGCATGTGTACGTGTGCATACATGCATGCATGTGTGTGTATATATACCAAAATTGTAAAGAACATTTTCAAATAATATTAATTCAGGGATGTAAATCTGTAATTATATGTATGAGTTATATGACTATCAAAATTGATTGTTGCTAAAGCTGTTATTTAAATGAAATTACATTTCTTTTCTAAAACTGTTTCTAGGATCAGCCAAGATCTTGCTCTCATTGCTCGGGAGATCAACGATGTAGCAGGAGAAATAGATTCAGTGACTTCCTCAGGCACTGCCCCTAGTACCACAGTAAGCACTGCTGCCACCACCCCTGGCTCTGCCATAGACACTAGAGAAGAGGTAGGAGATCTTCATGGAGAAATGCATAAGGTTCTTCCTTTTCTTAATTTCTTTTGCTTTTAGCTTTCTGCTTAGTTTATTTTAGTTATGTCCACCCTCCCTGTCTGCATGTGGCTCTGTGTTTTCCAACTTTGCTTTAACAAATTTATGTTTTATAACAATTAGTAACAGACTAAAAGGCTAATATTTGGTCTACTATTAACATAAAAATAGAAAATTATTTAGCTATAAGCACTTTGCCTATTGATTCCTGATCTATAACATTACTTGAAATGTGAATGTAAATGTTATTTGGAAAATAAACTGAAGTTCAAATGACTGTGTAAGGTTTCAGTGAAGTTTGACATGAAAATACTCCAATTAAAAGAAATAGTCATTACTAGTTAATAGCAAAGAAAGAGAAAACTTCTACAGCCTTTAAAAATCATAATTTTTTGACAGATATACACAGTATTGTTTTTAAATAAATTAAAATGTATATTATGCAAACACTATCTTATAAATACTTATAAGTCCTCCAAATATTCTTACAAATTCTAGAATACAAGTTAGAATTTGTAAACTGTTTTCCACCCAGAACCATGGCCTCCGCCAGTATAGCTCCAGGAGATAGTACTTGCATAATGTTGTTTCGCAAACTACCTTTCTCTTAAAACAGATGATACAGTGGTGTCTCATCCCTCTGTTTTCATTAATTCCAAGGCACACATCAAAACTGGAGAATGTTTCAGTCTCTACTCTGTAGAATAAATGGTTTACATGTAGGCTATGGGCATCCTTACTCTTTACCCTCATCTCTAGGTTATTAACTAAACCTATTATAGTATCAAAATAGTTAGGCTATGTTGTTTAGAGAATGGTGAGTGGCAAGAAAGATGTCCATATATCTCTAGTAAGCACACAGCATTAAAAAATTCAACTTAGTTGAATCTCCAGATAAGGAAGATTGACTATACTCTCTAGCCATGCTGACTATTTTCATCTTGAGCCAAAGTCTAAGCCAAAGAGTTCGCCTTTAAAGGAATGAGTTTGTCTTTATATGGCCTAAAAGCTAGAGATAGATTTTATGTTTTTAAATGATTGAAAAGAATAGTGATTTATAACATGAAAAACATTTTAAATTCACATTTCAGTACCATAAATTTTTATTATAGTATAGCCGTTCTCGCTTGCCTAACTATTTTCTATGGCTGTTTCTGTGTTGCAGTGCAAAACTGAGTTCTCAGACAGACTGTATGGTTGCAAAGCCGAGAACATTTAAATCTGCCACTTTACAGAACAATGTTGCCAGCCCCTCATTCTGATAACTCCACTTCTTTATCGTATTAAATGTTCTAAATAGTAACCAAACATGCCTAGCCTTTTGGGCATTTAATTCTGGTAACCTGTGCTGATAATCTTTTCCTCAGTTGCTTTTTGTCACATTTTTTCTTATAAAGCTCCTTAATGGTCACTTCTTATTTATTTTTTGTTTGTATGTTTTCTAATTTAATAAATGATATTTCATTAATCTGTGTAGAGTTTTGTTACCACACTGATCAGTTATAAATGTATAAAAATTATTTGTTGGTTTTGAAAAGAGTCATGGTGGCAAGACATACACATGTCTCTGGTACAGTTAAATAATGTTATTTTCTCAGCTTTTTAACTAAATTTGACCTAACATAGCTATTCATTCACTGAGACCCAGTAAAATTACTGAAATATTTCATGGACTAGATTCCCATTCTCCTTTTGCTTTATTTCAGAATGTTACATAGTTCTCTGGTTGGTAAACCTATTACTTGGTGTTGCATGTCCATAGTCTTCACTATAGGTGGCAGGACACCATGTTTACTGTAAGAAGCTATATGTTCTCTATCACTGTTAAAAATTTGATTAAGACCCAAATACTTATTATGTGGATTAATTTTTGTTTCCTTTTGTAAACATAATTGGAATTTGCCATTTATGTGTCTTGTGAAGAAAATTTGGCACCTGGATTTGGGGAGGAAAAAAAGGAAAAAACAAGATAGAAAACTAAAAGAAAAAGAAACATTGTTTTATACTGGTAAGGCAATGTGAGTAAAGTGAACTCATTGTCCACCTACATGGCTCAGGGGTTTTTCTCTTTATCATCTCTTTTTCCTTTGGAGAACATCTTAATCATGCAAGAGTAATTTAGCATAATTAAATATTTCTGGTTCTGAAAAGAAGATCAGTATAGATGAGCATCTAGTTTATGGAAGAAACCTGTTTGGTGTGCTTATTTAAAAAGTAATTTGTTTATTGAAGATATGCTTCTGTTACTACTTGAAAATGAAATAACTTCTCTCTAATATAAAAAAGAAGTATAATGCCAGTATTTCTATACTTGCTACTATCTGTTCTCATAAGGGTTTGCTTTTGTTCTCCTAGTTGGTTGACCGTGTTTTTGATGAAAGCCTCAACTTCCGAAAGATACCTCCATTAGTTCATTCTAAAACACCAGAAGGAAACAATGGCCGATCTGGTGATTCAAGACCTCAGGCAGCAGAGCCTCCTGATCACCTAACAATTACAAGACGGAGAACCTGGAGTAGGGATGAAGTAAGCAAACTGCAAACTTTTAACATAAGGGGAAAAGGCATCCTTACTGTGCCATTAGGTCCCAGTTACTTTGGGGGTATCGAATTTGTTAATACATTATTAAGGAGAAGAGTTGTCCAAACTAATTAATAATGTATAAAAGAGTCAAGATTAATTCTAAATTAACCTAATAGCCACTATTTATAAAACAAAACAAAACAAAAAACTATTAAATCTTTTTTTTTTTTTTTTTTTTTTTTTAAATGAATATAGGAATAGAAAATGGCTCCATAGTTAAGAGTTCTTGCTGCTATTGTAAAGGACCCAGGCTTGGTTCTTAGCACCAAGATAGTAGCTCACACCCATGTCCAGTCCTAGGGGATCTGACACCCTGTGATCTCATTGGTCAGTAAGCATACATGTGTACCTACATAAAGGCAGGGGAAAAAAATACACACATTAAAAACAAACAAACAAACAAAAACCTTTTTTGTTGTTGTTAATGAATATGTTAGTAGGTATAGTAGTAAACACGTGGATACACGTACAGGTTTTTTAATCATTTGAGCTCTGGAGTTTGAGAGCAGGCTGGGTATAACATGGAAAGACCTGTCTCTAAATGAATGCCATTGAAAACCCACAAACAGACAGGTTCATGCCAATGGAAAAATAGATGAAAAGAGCTTAGGAAAAATCAGGGATATAGAGGGGTTTTTACACACACACACACACACACACACACGCACACACACGCACACACACGCACGCACACGTACATCATTTGAAATAGCACCATGCAAAGGGCTAATTGAGATCAGTGTGCGGAGCTTAGTAGAGGAAGTCTATAGCAACAAGACATTCACAAAAGGGAACTGATCAAGTCTGTACTTTTGGATCCCTGGGTTCAAGGACCTAAATACTAGTGTGTACAAATGTTTTGTATTGCCAAGTCTGGTGGCACATGCCTTTAATCCCAAGGCTTGGTATGAAGAGGCAGGCAGAATTCTGAGTTCAAGGCCAACCTGGTCATCATAGAAAGTTTCAAGACAGTCAAGGCTACACAGAAAAACCATGTCTCAAAAAATCAAACAGGGAAAAAATGTGTTTTATTTGTTTGTTTTCTTAATCATTTTGTTGGTTCTGGAGACTGGGTCTCATGTAGCCCAGGCTGGCCTCAAGTACCATGTAGCTACAGTTGATCTTCAGCTGTTATCCTCCTGCCTCTCCCTCACAAATACTGTTTTGTGGATTTACTCCACTATGATTGGTACTGAATGCTTTTAGTAGTACTGAACAGAAGTCACCAATAAGAAAGCTGCAGAGTTGCAATGCCATTCCCTAAGAGGCAGTCACAACATAATTTTTCTGTTGAACCCTGATAGTGGTTAATTTGTTTTTCTATAAACAAAAGGATCCATTCTCTTTACCCATATTCATTGTGTTCCTTAGGTATGAGGTGACAAATTCTTCTAAATGTAGTAAAATTTTGAGGAAGAAGTTTATATTTTCTGTGAAGTCATCTTAAGGTTGATATCAGAAGTTTAATGCATTGTAACACTGACCTATAATTTATGGAGTAGAAAAAAAAGAGAAACCTTGTTCTATGGTAATCTTTCCATAGAATGCTGTACCTTTCTTCTTCTTAATATATATATTTTCACTTTTATTCCATCTGTTCCCTCAAGGCCTAAAAATCCCATAATTCCTACTTTTCCTTTCCTTTTTTTTCTTGTGGCTTTCTATATTTACTCACTAAGCCTTTTATCCAGATCTGTCTGTGTCATGAGAACTTCCTATTCCTATCATACTATTGAGCTTACTTCACAGTTCTTACAGTACTGCATTATAAAATCTAGAGTGGTTTACCTGCTTTCTTACACAGTATTTAATAGCATCTCTGTGTTATATTGTTAAACCATGTTCTGTTGCTTTTTTAAAGCATTTTGTTATCCAAAGTTGTGTCTTATCATTATGGGTTCTTTTTAGAGAATTCACATTTAGTTCTGACAGCTATAGGGCTATTTTGGAAGCCACTTCTAGAATCAAATTGGGTCCTTGTACTCTCCTACTCTTGCTTTGTCTTTTGTGATTTAGGTTTAACTCAGCTAGCTACCTGTCTTAAACACAGCTGTCTTGTTCCCTGCTCTGTGGCTGTCTTCTCCCTGCAGCAGAGAACTAAGTTGTGCCAGAGATCATCGGAGCCTAAAATCTCTCAGTGGCATGCAATGACAGAAGTTTGCTGACCCTTAGTTTTACCCCTGGTTCTCAACTGCAGCAATACCTGCCAACTCTCATCATGAAAATTTACTACTTTGAGTAAATTCTTTAAAATTTGTCTCTCTAACTAGTCTCTGAAGAATAAGTAAATAATATAGTAATTTACTTACATTTTCCCACTTATGATAATGTGAATTATAAATATGAGAGGCAGGATCATGATATTAATTAAAGAGGATAAAATGGGTTATTTTTGAAATGAGATAACCAAAAAAATAGGGAACTTTGACAAGCTATTTAACAAAGGAACTCATTGGTGATGATTCTTTGGTTTTTCTCAATTTAATTACTTTTATTATATCATTCTTTTAAATTAAAATTGGTATAAACACATCAATATACTGAGTTGTAGCTATTATTCTTAAGTTATTCAATAAGTATATATTAATGAGCTTTTTTTTCTCTGTTGCAGGTCATGGGAGATAATCTGCTACTGTCATCTGTCTTTCAGTTCTCTAGAAAGATAAGACAATCTATTGATAAAACAGCTGGGAAAATTAGGTACTTTGTGTTCCTCTAATCACTACTTTGTAATCACTACTTTGTTTCCTGTTCCCTTTGCTTCAGACCTGGTGCCACAGCTGTGAGGAGCTAGTGATGTCACTGGTGTGGATTCTTATTGTTGTTATTGCCAGTTACTTTTCAGCTATAAGGAGTAGTGTTGGCTAAACAAATATCCCTAGTCATAAATAAACCCATTTGTAATTGAGAATTAACATTTTCAGTTATTAGTAACCAAAGCCATTTTTCTTCACAAAATATTAGTAAATATTTTTAAATTAAATGTATTTGGTTGAATGATTTGTGGCTGTATGTTACTTGCTGCATTCTATTTTGACCTCTTCACAATTAATCATAGAAGGCAAATATGAAAATGTGAGAGTCTAGTTTAGAGTGACAGTATACTGAGAAGGAAATATGGGAAAGATCATATAGTAACCCATACCAAAGGCCTTTGGGGAAATTCATAGAAAAAAGAGTGAATTGAAGAAATGAGATTATTTTTATTTTTATTAAGTTTATTACTGAATGCCAAGCTTGAGACACAGATATGATGAACCAGAATATAGGATCGTATATGATGGTTTGCTGTGTAGTTAAGAGTAAAAGGCAATAGAAAGAAGGTAGTATATAACCAGATTTTAATTTGGGCGGTCAGCTCAAAAGAAACAACATGAAGACTTACTATTAATTATGAAAGCTCAGCCTTAGCGTGGGTTTGTTTCTAACTAGTCTTTATAACTTAAATTAACCCGTATCTTTTAAATTTTTTTGTTTTTCATTTTTTTGTTGTTTTGTTTTTGTGGCCCAGTTACCTTTACTCTGTACTGCCTATCCTGCTTGCTCTCCTGTCTGGCTGGCGATTCTGCCTTTCCTCTTCCCAGAGCTCTCTCTGCCTGGAAGTCCCACCTATTCCTCCTGCCTAGCTCTTTCTTGACCATTCAGCTTTTTATTACACCAGTCATACAGCAGCACATCTTCATACAGCGTACAACTCTTCTGCAACAGAAGGTTCACTTTTATCTCAGATACTCAGGAGGGGTGGTATGGGGAAAGTATTAAAAAGTGTGTGTGACTACTAATAAATCTAAAGAATACAGACTGGCATTCTGCATGGGAATAGCCATGGTGGTTTGGGAATGACCACAGCTTAGAAATGAACTCAAGATGCCCAGTGAAAATCTAACCATATTCACACTTAAATTGTTTGAATGTTCCTACTGTCCAGTAGTCTTTGCCACCATCTAGTCTACTAGCTTGGTGACAATTGGCCCTCAGGTGATAAACTACTGTTTGTATCCGAGGCTACTTGTATTAAGGATTTAGTATATATGGGTAAGACATTTTTGTCCTAGTGCCAACAACTTTATTGGAAAAATTATTTTAGTGTACTAATTTTAAATGAAATAAGCTTTGAAATGTATTGTGTTTTAATGGCAGAGATTGGTCCCAATTACTCTTTTGAATTTTATTGTAATCTGATGGCCATTTTTAAATTACCATTCTAAGTAAAAAAAAAAAAAAGAAAAAAAAGAAAAAAAAAAAAACTTTTGACCAGTATAGCTTTGTATAAAATAACCAGCTGATGTGGTTTTCTGCTTCCTTAGCATCCACATAGGTGATTGGAGTTAATTTCCTAAAGCCAAAGTGATAGGTTTGAAATCGTACACTTTTAAAAATAAGCTCTTATTCTTCCAATAAGACATTGCTTCAGTAAATCAGGAGTCTTGAGTAGCTGTCCTATGTTCTTTTCACCAACAATGGAACTTTTAGGAGTTTTAGAAGCCCTGTGCATTAGACTCATTAATTATCTTCTGGGAAAAGTCCCTGAATTTTTAGCTCCTCATTGCTAAACACAATTGTCCAGGCCCATTGTAGTTTTCACTTAGCCTATGGAGTCCTCATTATTTTCCTACTTTACATAAGTCTTGTTGCTAAAAAGACTATTTGAAAAGGCACAATACATTTCTTATTCCTTGATAGCTTAGTCATTAAGTGAAGTTCTTAGGTACCTGGCATTGGCATTCAGTCTTTCCTGTTTGGAAAATTTCTTAGCTCAGAAGAATTTCCTTCTGTGGGTTCTCCACCTTTCTTAACCTGGTTATGAAAAATTACAGATGTTCAGAACTTAATTTTGATTAATGTGTGCTTTTAAATAACATTTGAAGAAAGAGCGTTAGGAATTGTAAGTGAGGGCTGGAGAGATAGCTCAAAGGTAAAGAGCACTAGCTGTCTTCCAGAGGTCCTGAGTTCAATTCACAGTTGCCACATGGTGGCTCACAATCATCTGTAATGAGATCTGGTGCCCTCCTCTGGTGTGAAGGCATATATAATAAATAAATAAATCTTTTTTAAAGAAAAAAGACTGTTAATGTACAGGATTTATTGGACCAGGTTTATTGAAGAACTTAAACAGAAAGGTCTTTAAATCTTTCTAAACCTGATGACTTGTGTCTCAGATTTCTTAATGTATTGGAGAGAGAATTCTGCATTTAGTTGACAGAAAAAATTATAGTACTTTAAAAATTAAGACGTTTTAAATATAATATTTTATCAGTTCTTTTTGTTAGAAATATATAAAACGTTATACTTTCTTAACTCCTAAGTTATGTGCTAAGTTAACATTAACATGAATTAAGAATTTGAGTAGCAATCTAGTATGTAGTCCAGTTTTCCATCTTTAAGGTAATGTGCAAACTTTGATCCATCAAAAAGGTTGATGGTTCCTGTGTAAAGAGGTTTTAACCAACAGTTGCATACCTAATTTTGTCTTACTTATACTTTACATTTCTATCTAAGTTAAACTTTCTTAAGCAGTAGGTATATCATTAGTTACAAATAATAACAATACTTCTATTCAGTTTTCAGTTAAAAATAAGATAAACATTAGTTTAGGCATGTATTAGTATCCAGTCAGTTATGTTTTTTAATAGTTTTTTTTACGTTCATGAATTGATAGTATTAGCTAATTATTAATTCTGAGATCATTCAATAGTTGTTTTATTTTTCTTTGTGTAGTTTTGAAGTGATATCTTGTTTTTATATTATCACCAAAACAATGAAAGGTTACAATGCTTCTAATTTTTGACCTTTAGAATATTATTTAAAGACAAAGATCGGAACTGGGATGACATAGAGAGCAAGTTAAGAGCTGAAAGTGAAGTTCCAATTGTGAAGACCTCAAGCATGGTATGGTGGCTTTTCAGAATGAAAACATTTCAGTGGCATGGCATCGTTAGCAGGGAAAGAAATAGTTTTGAATATTTTAGTTTACATTCTAAAAGACTGTATGCATGCATAGATTCAGTAAATTTCAACCAGTGATGTTTAAAATATCAGTTGTTTCGTGGTCACAGAGAGCACTAAGGAGGCTCTTCTGTGTTTCTCACTGTGATGCAATCTTGTTTACATGATAATTATATACTATAAAGATGTAGCTTTTAATTTAGAACTTAAATTTTAAGTTGACAGATTACTTCCATTTACTTAATACAGTGTTTATCTTTTAAAAAGCATGGATTTATCAGATGTTTTCCTATGTTGATATATTACTTTATATATTTTTCCAAAGAAAACTCAGGCACATTGTTAAAATATTGCAAAAATGATTGAAACAAATGTTTCAAAACCTTCCTTTCTATAGTAGTAAATTGCCTTGAATTTCTATTAGTATTATTGAAAAAAAATTACTCGGTTTTATTATTAAAGATTCTAATTTGGATCTTGTTTGTTGGTTGTCCTTTGGTATAAGTACTAACACAATATTATAGAGATAGAGATGCATTGCTTGTAATCCGAGAATGTCTTAGGAAGCTAATTTGGAGTATTGCTTTTCCTGCAGGAAATTTCTTCTATTTTACAAGAGCTGAAAAGAGTTGAAAAACAGTTGCAAGGTAAATTTATTAAGTTAAGTAATTAAGCTTCTGGATATGGTAGTGTAGGGTGTCTGGTAGATGTATATAATCCCAACATTCAGGAGGCAGAGGATTGAGGCTTAGAACAGCTCAGTGTATTCTGTTTCTGAAATTATATTATTTTCTTAATTATTGAGACAGTATTTGATTAAATGTACCAACTAGTACATACGAAAGTATAGAGTTGAATATATCCAAATTATTCATAAAAGGGAATCTTTACAACTCTATAAAAGGACTGGAGATGTTTGTCAGTCCTAGAGTATCTGCCTAGCATGAGTGAGGCCCTAACTACTAGCCACATAGAATGAATATATGGATAGCTCCCAGTATAAAAACTAAAATATTATAAATTAGATTTTTAAAAAATCTGTTTTAAAATTTGATGCAAATTGGTTTCAAACTGTCTGTGTAGCTGGGGATGACCTGGAACTCTTGAGCCTCCTCCCTCCTCCTCTGATGTTACCATACCTAGCATAAAAGTGAGAGGATATTTTCATATTTATATTTGATAAAATCTGGGTGTTGAAAACATAACCAATTTTCAGTATCCTTCTATGATGGTAAACTCTAAAAGCTCTTAGCTTTTATCCTTCCAAGTGATAGTCTGTTCACTATGTTATTGAAAACAGAAGTATATCTGGTTTTTTGTTTTTTGTTTTTTTTTTTTCAGTGATCAATGCCATGATTGACCCAGATGGAACTTTGGAGGCTCTTAACAACATGGGATTTCCCAATGCTATCCTGCCATCTCCACCAAAACAGAAGTCCAGTCCTGTTAATAACCACACCAGCCCTAGTCAGACACCAGCACTTTGCCCCCCAGAAACCAGGGCTCTAGACCCTGTAGCAGCTACAGCCTCAGCTGAGTTTGAGAATGTTGAATCTGAGGCTGACTTCAGTATCCATTTCAATAGGTTCAATCCTGATGGGGAAGAAGAAGATGCTACAGTACATGAGTGACATTCCCTTGGTTAGAGACATTACCTGTGGAGTGACTAGGGATATTGGAAGCAGCATGATGTTGACATACAAAACAAGAGAGCTTGGTCAGCAACAATCTTGTTATCTTTGTCTTCTTGATTTATTTATTTATTTTTACCTCTAATGTGTCATACCAGTCTTTTCAAACCACTCAACCACTTGAAGCACACTTAGCAAAAGGCAGCTTGTGTCGGCTTTGCCTTTTGTGGTTTCATGGTTTTCAAATTGAACCATATCATTGCATCTTTTCCCTTCATAGATCTTTGTGTTTGTTTGTTTTAAGCCATACTATGACCTACAAACTAAAATATCCATCATTTCTGAGCCCCTGTGTCTCCTGTGCCAAGCTACTCCCTGAGATGAACTTCTCTTCAGCTGTACAGATTGTTAAACCATTCAATTTGCTTCTTAATAATAGGGTTTATATTATTACTCACTGTCATTGAACACAGTGACACCATGCTCGGTAGAGTAAAGCAGAACCTCCACAGCAATCATCCTGTGTCTGAAGATTTTTCCAATATAGTGTGATTTTATATAACTATTGCTAATTAACTTGTCTTGGGATTTATGGAAATTAACTATTATGTTTGCACTAAGATTTACTGGGAGTGATAGATGGACATATCTATATATCATTAAGGACTGACTTATCTTTCTGTACATAGGAAGTTAACATACTGTATTTGTTTTAACCCCACAGTGTTTTACTCCACTTTTCAAAAAGATCCATTTGGCACTTTTATCATTTTTTTTTTCCCTTACCTCCTTCCCTCCTCAACCTCACCCTTCCTTCCTTCCTTTCTTTTCTTTTGTCTCTCTTTTAGATGAAATGACAACTAGAAAGGTCATACTTGACTGATAGTTTAGGTGGAGTATATTTTTAAAATTAAGAACATGTATATTTATCCTGTGTTACCAAGTTTTAATGTGTCAGTTGGGGGGGAGGGGATCCCTCTGAAGTGATCATGAGTTTAATTTTTCTTCATTAGGAGATATGGAGAACCAGTAATTGTGAGAGTAGTTGATAGTTCCACTCCCAGTCATTGAATTGCTTCTGTGTTTCCCTGTAGGTCCATAGTAACCCTGTGTCAGTAAGTCTTACACATTTGTAAGGACCCTGCAAGACAGCAACGACGACTAAGGCTCTGGGCTAATAGCTACTATAAAGAAAGCCTGTGAAAAATACCTTCTTTAAACTTTGTTTTTGTTACTGTTTTGTTTTCTTTCCAGTAAGCTCACATTTCAATAAGTTTTTAAATAAAGGAATTATTTTTGTGTTTCCAGAACACTATAATTTGGGTGAATTTTAATTCTTTAAAATATTAATAGGCCTTGATTTGCTTCAATGGCCCCATTAGTCTATAAAGAGTAAACTGCAACTTTTATGATATGGTCTTTGATATATTAGCAATAACCTGTGCTACATTTGTTTTAAGGGAAGGTTAGATGTATACTTCAAGATTTTTCAGGATTCAAGAAATCCTGTGCTGTTGGATCAGTTAATAAAACTGCAAAATCTTTTTGTAAACATGGAAAAGCAAAGTCTGCTGTATTATGGATTTTTCTTTAAATTAAAAAGAAAAGGAACTGTTCTTATAAAGATAAATTTTCAATTCTAATGAAGTAAAGCTTCAAAAGAGTTTCAAAAATATAAGGGGAGTGAGATGCTTTGAAGAAACAAACAAAACATGCAAACAGGGTCAGTCCATTTGAAGAAAAAATATGCAAAATAATCATCATTGTTCCCTCCTTTAGTTAATGTTTGGTACTGAGTCTGTCCACATGGAAGTACATGATAAGGAGTCTAAGAAAGTATTAAAATATATACTTACATTATTGTTTGTTTACACAGTTTTGTTCAATTATAAACATTTGGCCTTTTACTATGTTATTTTTATTTTGTATGAATACATTCTCCTTATTTATTTTTGTTACATTTATTACGTTATTTTGTTATGCATTTACAACTCCATTTTTAAATAAAGTGTTTCTGGAACTTTATGCAGTGATACAGAATTCATATCTTCTACCATCTGATAGACGTACATTCATCAATTTACCAAACAACTGTCCACAGAAAATTTTCTAGTGCACTAGCAAAGGAGCCTTCCAGTGCTAATGACCATATGATCTTCCAAAGAAAATATTCTTAAGAGAATTACTAGAAATGTAATACAATAGCTTAATACTTGAGTGTAACACACACAGACACATCATTTGCAGTCAGCCTTGGATCATCCAAAAGCTTTGTGACAGTAGAATATTGGGGGGGACAAAGAAATTTAAATATCTTGAACATCATTGAGAGAGTACTATCGATTTAGACTTTTTTTCTTCATTCTCAATAGAGCTCAAGTCTTGAATGTCACCCTGTTACTAATCAACATCATGAATTTCACAGCTTGACTATGGGCTTTTTGCATTCTAATTCTGTTTATGTTTCTTCATACCCAATATGATTTCCACTGGCTCCTACAAGACTGGACTATCCTGGACATTTCATCTCTCTGTATTCTTGTTTTCCCTCCCCTTCACTGCTTGCCCACAGCTCTTTCATCCTAAATTCCAACCTGTGTCTTCATAACGTTTCCCTCTGATACCATAGTATACGTTCATTTCCCCTCACCATATGACACACATGTATCTACTTCTCTTTAAATCACTCAAATTTGTCTCCTGGGTAGACCCCATACTTCCATGCCATTTAGCTTCCTTTGTGTCCTTGGACTTGTTTTTCCTGGATAGACATATCCTTCCCAGCTTCTGTACCATTTAGCATCCTTCGTGTCCTTGAATTTTTGCTTGCTCTGTCTCTGGCATGAGTAATTCTTAGAGGGTTTTGATTTAATATTTTAAGATCCAGGCCTCTCCCTGTGGATGTGGTCCTCCGACTCTGATCTACAAAATGAGGGCATCATTCTTAACCAAGGATCTTGTAGCTCAAGGGACTATGAAATATGCTCCCTCAAAAACACTGCAGAATTTCAGTATAAAGTCTTCTTATTGAAGTGTCCTGCCTGTCAGATTCAGTTTTGCCCAGACAGATTTGATCCATTCTATAGTTAATGTCTTAACATACTAAGCAAGATTCTCATCACAGGGTTGACTCCTGGCAGTGAACATAGAGTGTCCTTGATTCTGTAGTGGGAGGGAGACACTGCAAGTTCAGAGTTGAGTGAGGAAGCCAACATCAGGTGGAAAACATTTCTCCTCTAGTACCATGAATTATACACAGGTTGACCCCTGGTTGCTCTTTAAGGGAGTACATACTGCTTTGTATGTGCAGTTTCCTTTCAGTTCATTTTTTATTATGATCTGGTTGTAAGAATGTTCCATGTTCTGCCTTGCAGCCTTCCTTGTCCTCTTTGCTTTCCTGTGTGTTCTTAATTCACCTGCCTGTGCCACACAGTCCAGTTAGTAGGTCTTCAGTTGAGCTGAACCTGTAGCTGCATGTAAATTGCAAATCTCTAGCCTGGCTACATTTGAGGAACTTTTACCATATGTGAATGTGGGTGTGTCCAGTACAACAGGAATCCAGCAGTAATATCTGAGTCATGTGGTTCTGGATTCAAAGCTTTGTTTAAACTCCCTAAGACAGTCCATCCCCCCTTCCCTCCAACTGCAATTTCCTGAACTATAAAGCCAACCCCTTGCTGACCCCTGTATCAAGTCAACCACCTGGAGCCATTGCTCTTATTGGAATGCTTGCTACTCTGCATTGCTCTGATGTATACTGCAGTATATAGTAAACATTTTTGTTCATTGCCATCTTTTCTTGTTTTTCACCACAGCTGTTCAAGCTATTTTAAAGTCTGATTTTTAACTGGATGAAAATTTTTAGTTTTGAGGTATGCAATATTAGATCTAGATAGAATTGATAGGCATTTATAGGCATTTATTACATAGTTCAACTACTTCATATTTTGAGGTAGTTGAAGTATAAGTAGGGAAGAGTATGGGCCTTGTTGGACAGTGTACCAAATGTGTTAGCTGCATTATCTTACTTCTCACGAATCTAAATGAGTTTATCTTTTAGAGATTAAGGAATCTTCGATAAAGAGTTTACTCAGTAGTCCAACTGGGATTTGATTCAAGATGTCCTTGACTTAGGTGTTCAGATTATTCATAGTCAACCACTACTATAGTCAACCACTACTAGCTTAGCTTATACACAGCTGGTAGAGTTTGGGTAAGCCAGTGAGTAACCTCTACCTACCTACCCTTATATAGTGACTGCAGCCTCAGAAAAGATCATCAGATTCTACTTTGGGAAAGAAGCAGGAAACCCTGCTATTTCTTACCATAAACTGATGGAAGAATAAACCATCTTCTGCAGAACTAGATGTTGAGTGCTTCAAGGAGAACCATGTCAGCAGAGGCCCTGCCCTGTCTGTTGTTTTAAAGGTGAAAATTCAAGACTACAATGGGAAACTGGTAGCCATGCATCAAGGCTGTCACCAAAAATGTGCTTCAAGCACTTCCCACATGTCTCTGAGTAAGGCAAATTAAAAGGAGAACTGTCCCCTGAGGCTAGGTGAAAGGCAGCTAAAATTGCTAGGGAAGGAGGAAGAATAATGCCAACATGGTTTGCCACTTGTGGGTACAATAACATAGGGTCCCAATGTCACTTTACAATATTCAGGGAAGTGGCAATGGATTTCCATTGAAAAAAAGTTTTAAGTGAGAAAAATACAGCCATACACCTTTGTGGTGTTTCCTTTTCTGCTTTTATGCTCTATTTATCCCCAGAGCTCTGACTCCGCCTCCTTCCTCGATTTTCCAGTAGAGCCACCTCAGTAACCAAAGAAGTCTCATGGTTGTCACTCCAGGTTCCCAGACCTTAGTCCAGCACAGGGTGGATGGATGGTTGAACTGCCACATCTGCTTTCCATTTCCAGTCCATGATAGTGTCCTGAGTCTCCAAAAGAAGAAAAATACCAATTGACACTGAATTTTAAATTACCCTATAAAAGTTTATATTGTGTAACAGCAGTTTTATTTTTAAGACAGAAAAATGGTACAATAGTTTCAGAAAACTTCCTTTTAAAATTGTCTATCCTGGCCAGGTATTGGTGGTGCACACCTTTAATCCCAGCAGCACTCAGGAGGCAGAGGCAGGTCAATCTCTGTGAGTTTGAGGTCAGCCTGGCCTACAGAGTGAGTTCCAGGACAGGCTCCAAAGCAATAGAGAGAAACCCTGCCTCGAAAAACCAAAAGTAAGAAAAAAAAAAAAAAAAGTCTATTCTGCAATCCAGTCATTTACTTTTCAAGAGATATGAAATCTTATGTCCATGAAAAAGCATACACAATGCCTTTGTATTTATAATAGCCAAAACCTAGAAATGTAACCAGTGTTCACCAACAAATAAATAAGAAATTATACATCCATAAAACAAAGTTCTATTCCGCAATGGGAAGGAGCAAGCCAGCTACAGTTATAAGAGGTAACATAGTTTAAGAACACAGAAAGAAGCTGGCACAGCAGAATACACACATTAGGATTCATGATTCTAGGAAAGGCAAAAACAAGAACAGATGGGAGATTGGAAGGACAGAAAGGAGGCAAGTGAATGAAAGGGCTGGGTAAAGTACAGGAGGGTAAGTACATTTGATGAGGTTCACCAGGCTGAACTCAGTAAAGGGTGCTTAACATGTAAATTATTTCTTTAAAAAACATATTCAAAAGACAGATGATTCCTTTTAACTTTGATGTATATGAGTCTCCAAAGTCATTGGGATGGGTATCCTCACTTTCCAGCTTCCCAAGCTAATTAGTAGCTCTCTAACAAGTCTTTTAAGTGGAAAAGAATCATTATCCTTTCTCCAAGTCTGCTGTCTCCCACTCTAACCCTAATTTTCAGAAAAGTCAAATTTTCAAAAGGCAAAACCCAGCAATGATCATTGCAAATGTTCCAGGGAACTGAAGTGCTTTGCCTTTGGCTCCTGCAGCTAAAAACAATGAGAAAAGGTCTCTGGTAGATCTCTATTCACAAGTTGTACTTGAATAAGCCCATGTTAAAGGGGTGGGCTGCACACTGGAAAGAATTGGAAGAGATTCCAGGCAGCTCATTGTTCCAGATCACGAGCTCAAAGAGAAATCCCTCAAGGCTGGCCTTAGTCTTCAAACATAACTGGCAGAATCGCCACATGCTTCCCGGGAGATTTTAGGGTAGCTTAAGTTTCCCCAAGAGGATATGTGGGCTACAAAGACAACCTGTTTAATTGCTTGGTGAAGAAATTCAGGTTATCCATAATTTCTAAGAGAAATGAATTTAGCAATATGATGCTCTCACAAAACACTCCAGTGACCCCAAAATCATAGAGTGTTGGCATATCTGGGCTAAGCCTGGGGAAAGGAAAAAAATTGAATACATAGTATACACCACCTATGTGCCAGGCAGCTTATTTCCCAAGATTTCAGCAAGGTTCCCATTCAATTATGATCAATATGGTCATCAACAAATGATTACCTTTGAACATGTTTTTCCTACTGGCTGGAGTAATGTTCCATTATTATAGATTTACTGTCCTCATGTAATTGTTAGCAATCTGAAACCATTGTCTGTCTTTTGTGTCATGAAAAGTCATTCAATATTTTACCTCATTTAAACTGCGAAATTATGTTAAAAATCATAACCTTTACATGAGATGAATCTTACTGAATTTCTTATACTATTTGGTTTGTTGTATTGACTTTGTGTATTCGTTGACAGTTGGCCAATATATTCGTAAGTTGTTCCTTTCAGTATCATATATTGCGGTAAATAAGGATCAGGATAAACAAATAGGCCGAATAGATGTTTATTCAGGGAGAAATAACTTACAACCTAGACAGATGAACACCAGGAAATTCAACCCGATCCTCTCCTATCTGAGTCATGCCAGAAAGAGAGCGCCTTCCTGGCCCCCTCCGACCTCCTTCCTCAGGTCACCTCCGCCCATCGCTCCACCCCCCAATGGGCGTGGTCAGTGCTACAGAAGGACTATCTCACTACAATTCC